GTTTTTCTATTTCTTATGCGTTTCTAGTCAGTGAACATTGTTCCTGTGCCTACTGCAAGCTCTCATGCAAGCTCTCGAACAGTTGTTCGCGTGTTTACTTCCACTAGTACCTTCAATCGTCATCGTCAAATTCATTAGAACGTCTGCCGCCTTCCTCATCTTCGAGGTCGAAATCATCAAATTGTAATTTCCGGTACCGTGTCCGCACTGTTGATTCACCAAACACTACCTTCATCCCAAACTCACTGGTTTTTCCAGCCGTCTCTGCTGCGCTACGACCGAGTTTGAACTCATAAAAGAAAGCTTGACGAAAGTTCGTCTCTGACATCTAAAATTGCAGAGCACAAAATTGGTACAAAATTTGGCTTTTAAACAAAGATAAAAAACGGTTAGGAAGGGTATATAATCAGCTTAAAAAATATTTTAAAATGCTCATCTATTTCTGAACAACCTAGTGCTTTCAGTACTTGAGCATCCTTATTCTTGAAAAAATTTCGTCACCCCAACGTTTGAGTGAACGAGGATTTTCTCTGCGCGTCTGAATTCCTCAGTTGGTGTGATACTGTATGGTCTCTGAACAAGTTGGTGGTAATCAGGTCAGTGAATGATAGGATTACGTTATTCTACAGTTAGATTTGACTGCGATACAGTGGCTTTTTCTTGAATCACACCTCTTTGTAACTTCATCGCCAAATGTATGTTTATTGCATCCCTACCTCTATGTCTTCCTTCCTTCCACTAGTCATCCTCTCTCGAAGAATAGCTCACCCGGCTGCAACACTTTGCTGCTCTCTTTGAAGCTTTTGCCGATCTCTCAAAGCAAATTCCAATCTTTAGCAACTCTGAACATCTGCTCCTTTCCAGAGCTGAACTTCTGCTAAGGTTAATCACTGGAATAGTAATCCTTGAAGTGCTCTTTTCACTTTATATACAAAATCTGCGACGGCTTTTTCTCCGCATGCCATTCGTACTGGTTTACAGCGAATGGATATCACATTCTATTTGTTCGACTTTAATTTTATGCTGTGAGTTTCCATTATTGAAGATCGCACACGTTTTCATCAGCAGTTGGCACTCTTCATTATCAAAGGCCTTATCCAATAACACTATTGATTTGCAAATGTTCTGGGATACATCGAATGAGGCAATCTTTTGTTTGTTCGTTCTTCGTTTCGACGTCACCATAGAAAACGATTGTGATGGCGCTCCGTCTTGCCACCACTTCGTTGCTTCGGCGTGTGCTTGGGTGTTGAAGAGCGTTGTGCAGCAGGAATTTATTACCCCAGCAGGCTCGCGACATTTAGAAAGCATTGTGACATTTTCATTCGGAAGGTCAATTAGTACGGCAAATATCGGCGACATACTCATGGCTACCTTTTGTCTAGAAACTGTAAAAAAAAAAGAACCATTTTACTGGACCATTGAAAAAAAAATACTCTTTGTAGGCCATTGACTGGGGTTATTGGCCTTGGGGAAGACGAAGATGTCGAAAGCCGAACAAACCTCTTTATCAATCCTGTGTTAGCTTACCAACGAAAGAGCACATAAGAAAAAAAGACTGGTATAAATAAAACGTATGTGTTCTTAGTGTCCTGAAGATCAAGGACTATTCAGTACAAAGAAGCCGTCACCAATTTTCACGAACCGCTCTGTTGACCGGCTACATGTACAGGAAACGAAAGGCCTTCAACCATCGTCCTAGGCTGGGGAAATTCTGAAAGGTTTGGAAAAATAGTAAAATCCGTGTAATGAAAGAGTCGCTGTATTTTTTGTATGAATCGATACTACATATTGATGAAATCGAAGCTGTACCTTGATTCGATTCCTCCCATCATCATTCGCGAAGATCGTCGTATGTGTGTGGGTTGGGTTACTGCTTAAGAATCAAATTAATTTTCATTGGAATATTGGGATAACCGTGCTAGAACCTCCATGCTGCTCACCATAGCCATTCACCAAAATTTGTGGGTTAAACAAAGCTTCTCAGACAAGCGTGGTGCGGGCTCCGTAGCGACAGGCACGTAGGTTTTTTTCAGCTGGGTCCAGCAAGGGTCTTGCATGTATTCAACTGCATCTCCACCATTATTGCATCGCCTGTCACTCTATACAACAGATAAGTGGCATATCAAGAGGTAGTAATCTTCTACTCATGTTTGCCTTTTAAAGTGTACTGTAGCATGAAATTATCTTCGGAACATATGTGAGCAGTGCTCACGAAATGTATAAAGGCGGGAAAGTGCACAAGTATCTACTAAAGCGATCAATAAATTTAGCAATTATTCCGAAATCGATTTTTCCTTGCTTTTTGAAGTTGCGTGACAGATGATGACGTCAGCTGATTGTAAGGGTGTTCGCTTTTTCTCTTTCTGTGTATAAGTCCGTGCTAGCAGCCCGTTATTTGCAATACTATGAGTTTAGTGAACTCTTCACTTTATGCTAGTCACTCTTCTTTACATAAAAGTTCTTTTTTCTTTCCATTCTGAGTACGAAATGATGAAAGCGAACCATAGTCAAAGCGCTGAGTTTTGATCATCGCAGAGCGGTGTGCTCAAAAAATCTGACATGACTTTCCTTTCTTTCTTTTTTCATAAAGAAGGATAAATCTCTTGGCTGTGACCAATACCTGAGGAATGCGTCATGCGTTCAACTACATCAAGTATCGTTAGAGATGATTGAAAGGATGTCTGGCTTATACAATGACTCACCCACCGATGTATCGAGCTAGTGCTGCTATTCTCACAGACAAGTCTGATAGCAATTTACCGAACCCAGCGGGATGGAAGGCTTGGTAAGCCTAGGACGCGGAATCCATCCCATGTGTATTGTGGAGCGCTTTTAACCACTGTGCTACATGCACCGCTTCTTTTCCATTAAATCTGAAAAAAGTCGTCTGATTCGTAATTATAAATTCACGTGGGGTCGTTTTTACAGTTTATGGATTTAACGGTAGGTTTAAATGTTAATATGGACGGCTATTCAATAAAGTTTTCTAGTGTAATATTTCGCGGCGGGCGCGTGTAACGCAGTGATCAGGGGCTCCCTGCAACACACACGTGGAATCGATACCCACCCCCATGGACCACCAAGTCCTCCATCTCTCCATGGTCAGTAATTTGGCACCAGACTTGTCTGGAAGGATAGAAGCACTGGCTCGATACATCGGTAATCCACCACGAGTCATTGTAAAGGTCAGATATGCACTCAATCACCTCCAACGATAGTTAACGAGGTCGAATGCATTGCGCATCCCCTGAGGGATTGATCAACGCCGAGAGCTTTATCCTTTTATTTATTAGTGCAATATTTCGCCTTCGTTGTTTGACTTTTGTTCAAAGCCACTGTTCGCTTAGCTTCCCGTTATGAGTAAAAGATCTTGAAATTTTAAAAAAATTTAATTCTATCTGACTCTTGTAACTTCCAATTTTTACTATTATGATCCTTAACTCAGCCGTTTTATGTTTTCATGTTGCTCTGTTTGCTCTGGCATAGCCTTCCATTGTGATATTTTCCACTTTGTTTATTATGGTCCAGCATTCCACGCACTAATGCATACTTTATTCTTGTTGGAATTGAGTATTTTGAGCATACCACTGTCTAGCTGCTGGTTGTATTCTTTATGTAGTTGATCGCTCTCTAACACATAATGAGCGATATGCACTTTGTACATATTTTTTCCTTTTTTACATAACCCCTTATCACGCCTACTGTGAGGATCTCAGCCTTTCTTGCAATCGCCTCGTTTTCCTTGCAGTCATCGTCTACAATGATGTTCGAGTACTTCGCATGTTGTTTCTGATGCCTGTTGCCTAAGGATTTTGCCTTCTTTTTCATGAATGCTGTAGAATGCTGGTCGAGTAAATTTTTCTTCTATTCCTGAATGTTGCCGAGCCTCTGTTCCATGATCTACGGTACTACTAACCACTGCACCACCCCTATCACATTTTTCGTCACACACGTTATGGGTTTAAATCAATTCATTTCTGCCAACCTCTTGCCGCCTTAATACTTGAAATCAACTCGTTTCCGTTTTTAACTGTTAAACACCTCTGTCACTTATATCTATCGTTCTTCTCATTTTTTAAATCGGGGTTTTGTTTAAATTCGGCTTCAACGACTTTCGTTTGGTGTATTGATGAGCTTATAGGGGGTTGGAACCCAATCTCTACGAGTGGTGGACTATTCAATACCGCAGTATTCAATTCCATACGATTCCGACAGCATACATAATGCAAAAACGATTTAGGCTTTAGAAATTCGTCTTGAATCATTGATGTTCTAAAGATAGTGGTGTCGCTGAAGCATCAGCAACGCTAAAGTCTAGCTATCAATCTAATGTAAGCTTACCAAAAGCCAAAATTCCTTCGTTAATATCATGCTCAATAAACTTTTCTTGTAAGTATTTCAGTCTACTATCTACTATATTGTTATCTGTGGCGCGTGTGGCGCTGTGGACGAAGGCTCTCTGCAACATACACGACGAATGGATTCCCGTACCTATGGCCCACCAAACCTTCCATCTTTCCTGGGTCGGCAAATTGGTAGCTTTGTCTGGAAGGATAGCAGCACTGGCTCGATCCATCGGTAGGCCACCCCGAGTCCTCGAGTCCATTGTAAAGGTCAGGCATACATCCAATCACCTCCAGCGATGCTTAATGAAGTCGAATGCATAGCGCACCCTCAAGGATTGATCAGCGCCGAGAGCTTTATTCTTTATCCTTTATATTGCTATCTTTCACCCTTTACTGAGTGCCTTTTCCTGTCAGCTTCATTCACCCCGTTTTATGTCATTACTGTCTACCTCGATCTTGTTTATTTTTTTGATTTTTTACACTTACTGAGTCTCATTAAGCAGTTCGTTTTAATTATGCTTCCTACCTTCTTTATTGTTCCCAATGTTCCTAAGAGGAAATAACAGCTTCAAAGCTTCGACTTCTTGTTCTAAGTTTCCGCATTTTTTATGATGATACAATAAGCTCAATTTATTTTTTCACAGGTACGGCATGGTCTACGACGCTGCCTTGGGTTACGACCCAGAAGAGTGGGAGGAATGCCCGCATAAGGAGCAAATTATGGTGTTCTCTTTCTTCACACGACTTTTACTCAGCTCGTTTGCTGTTGCGTTTGTCGTTTACTTTTTTCGATTGATCGACGGCAATAAACAGAAGGATGAGAAACAGGTGGGGACGTTTTAAAGAACATCTAAATGAAGCGCGTATTGTAAGATGTTCTGTTGTTCGGCGACATTTGCAGCGCGATAGCTTTACAACTTCGAAAGCTTCAAAGTTATCTCTTACTCTTACTGTATTAAAATCTTATAAAGAAAAAAATTTAAAAAATGCAAAAATTAAGATTAAATTAAAATAAAAAAGGTTATAAAAATTGTAACTACAGTCTCAGCTTAACTGGGTTCGTTGCCAATTTGGGCCTCCAAGATCAATCTCTTTAACGGGTGATTACTGTTGCAAAGATCAATAGAACTAGCTGAGAGACAGGCGAAACGAAGAACCCGAATGGTGTGGTGGTGAATGCGTTACTCTCCGGAAAGGACAATAGCGCGTTCGGTCCCAACCGCAAACACCTGCGGTCCGGAGTTTTGCAAATATCTTAGCATCATTGAAGTTGTATTGAAATCCTTGTTCTTTGACTGGTTTCGTTTCATACACGTGTCCCACATTTGATAGTCGCGTTCGTACGCAAGTTCAGCTCCGTCTTAAGGTTCCGTCATATTCTTTTCCCATTAGCACGTTGAATGTTGATAAAACGCTGTTTTTCCTCGGATTCCAAGCTAGAGCTCCTCAGGATCCATTAAGTCATCAGCGTAAAAGACTTCGTTACTAGGGTTTCTCCAGGTCGGTAGAGATTTCTATGATTAGTTAACCAAGTTTATAGTTTAAGGATTACGTAGGATCTCACAACGTGCTGAAAAGGTAGGTGAAATCAAGAAACACCTACTAGATCTTCATAATATTCCAAGAAGTTAAATAAAATTTCTTTGATTATTTATTTAAACAGCACCCAGAGAGTTTTGTTGTAATACTATCTTGCACCTGACATTTGTGACGTTGAAGAAAAAGTACTGTTGTAAGAGTTTTTCGTACTGATTGCAATGTAGAATGTGCTACGATGATTCAACTACCTGTATTGTCATCTACAACCATCTCTGTACCCCTGACTCTCGAAATATTTACCCTACATGGATACCTTATGGACCTTGACAGAGTAACTGGTTGTCATCCCCTTCATTCTGAGAACAGCAGAGTTTACCAGAAGAATTCTGGCTACTTGAATTCTAACCGGCGGTTCTCGAGAAGGGATTTTTCCGTTGTTGGTGGATTTTGATTAAAATGTGTTTGTGCGGTTTGATGCCAATCAGCTGCATCCTGACTCTTTTATTCAAGAACAATTTTTCAAGTGCGAAGTTCTCTTTCTAATGACTCGTGCATACTTCGCAAAAAATGACTTATCAGTCGAATCCAAAACTTCACCAGAGTGCTCCATTTTATCTGGAATATTCTCAAGCTGGGCTCTATCTTATCGTGCTGAACCTCACTCACAAATGGCACCAGTAAATTCTACGCTTCATAGTCTCTACTATTAAGTGGCAAACTTGATACTTTATACTTGATACTTGGCCGTCCTTAGTGGTTGTGCGGTGCCCAGCATAATCACCATTTATCGGAGCTGATTAAGCCATTGTGGTTTCCTGAAATCTCGAGGTCAGCCAGGCCAAAGTCTGCCCCATGTATTCACCACCACAGGCAGTCGCAGCCCTTGTGGATCAGAGGGAAATTTGCCACCATGTGACTTTGACACCAAAACGGTGGTCGATCCTGGTGCTGGTTCACTCTTAGCTAGGCTTTCTGGTGGAAACGCAGTACTCCTTCTCAGCTTGGGAGACCTTTCCGGGGACGAATCCCCCGCTGTACATCGCAGTCCGACACCCAGGAACACCTTCTAGCCAAGATGAAGCGGTAAACCATTGGAAGGTAAATGATAAAGTAAGTGACAAACAGCGTCGATCAACTGTCGTATAGGAAATTATGGTGATTACAAACTTGAATTCATTCTTTAACAAGGCTGTAGAATTTCTAAAACTTTGTTCGTAATGTGACATCTCTTTCTTCCAAATCTAATCCATGTCTTGCGCAATTTCTTTCAGGATGTTCAACGACGCGTTTCAACAGACACAGTCATTACCGAAGTTTCTCGAAAATTACAAGAGGTTTTCTCAAGATGTGCTTTTAATTTTAGGAGCTTTCTGTTTCAAATGAGTTCGTATATCTACTGAAGACAACTTTCGTATTTCTATTCTTTCTGATTTTCCCACACGAGGTTACTCTCAAATTCTCTTTTCTTACAATAGTTAATGTTTCGCAGGACTTCCTCTTCGGAATCTGGACGGGTATTGTGGACTTTTAAGGTCCACTCTTAATTCCTAGCCTAATCTCAGTCGTAATCTAGTTTTCAACTGAAATTTTGATTTCCTGGTAAACACCTTTGTGAAGTAAAGTATCAGTCATCTCATTTCGCAAATGAAGGTAGGCCAGAGCTTCCATCTAAAACTCCTCCTTTTATAAGAGCTTCGGAATAGTCGCTGTTTTCGACTTCCTACTAGCATTGTAGCAAAGGTTGTCTTTTCCGCTGATAGCTTCTTCGTTTTCGTTGCCATGCTCCCCATAGAATGAGTCAAATGTTAAATGGTGTTCGTCAGATGGTTTTCGAACTCTGTAATCTACCTAGGGTTTTGTGTTTTGAGACAGTTTTGAAGACGATTATGAGCGTCAGGGAGCGTTTGGTAATGCAATGACTATTTTCTTCGTATTTTTGTTGAGCAAACGCGAAGTGTTACTATTCTTTGTTCACGATTAAGCTGACGTTTCGGCGGATTTCGCCTTCTTCAGAGCCGCTTCCTATGAGGTTTCCACTAAGTATGTCACATAGAGACCAACCGCACAGAAATCACATGGAAGTATAATGATTATACTAATACTGATTTACTATTATACTTTGGTTATACTATAATGATTACTAGTATAATAATCATTACACTTCCATGCGATTTCTGTGCGGTTGGTCTCTACGTGACATACTTAGTGGAAACCTCATAGGAAGCGGCTCTGAGGAAGGCGAAATCCGCCGAAACGTCAGCTTAATCGTGAACAAAGAATAATAACACCTCGCGTTTGCTCAACAAAAATACGAAGAAAATTACTTGATCAATGCCGAGGTTAATAGAAAGTCGGTCGTGGCAGTTACTGTAATGACTATTGTTTCCCGTATTCATCTGACCTTTTGAGAATCTGAGCAAGTAAGATTTAATCGAAATGTTGCCTAAACTTATAGTTCATTTTAACGGAGTGCTGGCTCCGTCACTTCTACAACATTTAATAATGGGACCACATAGTGAAGTTTCCAAATCCGGGACGACATTAACTGTCTACTACTGGGATACATATTAGTATCATTCATGTTTTCGTTTTAGCATGAAAACGGGTCAGTTCACTAATCAGCATAAAAACTGCAGAGGGTTCTAATGAAAAATTATTGATAATTGCTAAGTGATTTAGTTGGTGAAGAGCAAAAATAAAGAGATGTCTGCAGTACCTGGAGCTGCCGAAGATCTGCTGAAGGAAGCGAATGACTATATGAAAGGTGAATTGGTTCGTTCATGATTTTAGTTCTTTTTTTCCAAATTTCACTCTTCGGTTTGTTTTAATGGTAAGGTTTTTTTTTGGCAAGATGGATAAGATTTGAAGTAAATATGTAAAAATAACCGTTTTGGCGTATGGCACAGTGGTCGGAGGCGCCCTGCAAGACACCTGAAATCGTTCCCCGCTCCCGCGACCTACTTAGCCTTCCATCCCTCCGTGGTAGGCAAATTGGTGCCACACTTGTCTGGGAAGTTGGCAGCACTGGCACAATACATCCATAGGCCACCGCGAGTCATTGTAAAGGCCAGATATACATTTAATAACCTCCAAATGATGCTTAGTGAAGTCGAAAGCATGACACATCCCTCAGGGATTGACCAACGCCAGGAGCCTTGTAGTTTACATCCTTTTAGCCAATTTTTGTTGAAGATTAATGAGGAAGCAGTCAAGTTTTTTTAGGCATTATTTTAATGAGAGGTTTTTCATGAAATGGATAGGTAATTGCGTGGAAATCCTATGAAATTACCAATATTTGTTAGAGATCACGCGACAAGTGAAGGACGGTATTAGTGGTGCAGTCAAAGCCGTGACGACGTCTCATCTTCCAGGTAATGCCATTACTTCTTGGAATGAGTTTCAAATAAAAAGAATGAAAAAATTTTAGCGCTTTGAAATGTTTGAAGTAGTTGTTTTCATTTTCTACGATTTTTTACAAGAGGTCATAATCATTCAGAAACCTTTGCCCAGTTCATCGAAGAACCGCGTCGAAGAGCCGAGGAAGCGTTGCGAACGGTGAGTTCGTTATCGCTGAAATTATTCTTAACTGGAGCATATCGAACCGTTGAAGACAATCTGTCGAAGTTGTAGTATTTCATACATTTAGTCAACATTATTCGCCATTATTCCTGTGTTAGAGCTTTAAAAAGTGGAATAAAACAATGGATCTAGATCTAGGAGATTGTATGCTTAAAGTTAGTATTACTTACTTGGATGACCAAACTTCACTGGTTCCGCAGGACCGAGTATAATGTCCATTTTGTTGGTTTAGCCACTGTGGTTCTCTGGAGCCCCGAGATCAGCTAGGCCAAAATCTGTACCAGGTCGTTACCACCACAGCTAGTAGCCGCCCTTGTGGATCGGAAGGAGATTTACCACCATGGGACTAGTTCGATACCAGGACGGTGGTGGATCATGCTATTGCTCTTAGCTGGGCTTTTTGATGGAGACCCTGGACTCTTTTCCAACTTAGGAGATCCTGTCGGGAGGATGAATCCCACGCTGTGCATCGCAATGCGATACCCAGGATTACCCTCCAGCCATGATGAAATGGCAAACTGTTGGAAAGTAAGGTCAATATTGCTTTGAAGAACTTAGATACTACACCATATAACAAAATAATCTAAAAATTGGAGCATCAGCTGGTAATGACAGGTTAATCACAGGGCGTAAATCACGAAGAATCGTCGAGACCGCAACAGATGCTCGTCGGCGCTCGCCCAGAACCGTTCGACCAGCCGGAACAACCTCAGAGGCATCCGCTACAAGTCTCGTCAGCTACAAAGTATAAGATTAGTAAAGAGTTAGTTTAGGGGATACATTCTGAGATGGTCGTATGTTAAGGTTGAGCAGCTCGTTTCAGAGATGAACAGGCACTACGACAATGGGATCTTGAGCGCCAGAAGTTGGAGGCGGAGCGACTCGCAAAATTGCAAGATCGTGAGGTCACCGACTTTTTTTCATTACACTACACTTCGATTTTGATGAGCTTATCAGAACTTTGTCGTGAAATCCGCTAACTTCGGTGCATACAAAAAATGATATCATGAGCATGATAATCATAGGACTATATGGTGAGGATCCTAGCACTTCTTTCATTTGTTTCGCTTTGAATTTACGTATGTGCTTGGATGAGAATTTTGTTTTCCTCATAAACGACGTTCAGTTGTGGTCGAGCCGATTCTTCCTGAAATCCTAGAATGGAGCCGCTGTTTCGTTCCAAAATGCTCATTACAGAATGTCGCCGGCTTTTTCGGCTCGAAAGGGAGACGTTTTTCGAAATACATCTTTTACTATTTTTCAACGGCGAAAAAGATGAGGTTCTGATGAATTGGAGCATGGTAAAACAAGCGACCTATAGATTAAATGATTATGAAATGCCCGACACAGTTTCAAATCGGACATTGACCTAACCCGTTCCTCGTTAAGCTAGGGAACTCCTTCATCCACTTTTTTTTGAACAATTGTCGTCTGAAAACAAATAACTTGATTCAAATGCTGTTTAAAATGCTCTTAGAATTATTCTATGGTGAAATTTATCAGACAATAATAGAAGAAAACTCGTGCATCTTACAATTTCCACTGTTTCTGGGTTTTGCTGGCTTAGTAATTGCGGTTCCCTGGAGCCCCGTGGTCAACGAGGCCAAAGTCTGCTTAAGGTCGTCACTACCACAGGCGGTCACCACCCTTGTGGATCTGGGGAGCTTTTCCACCATGCGAACTAGTTTAATACCAGGGTGATGGTAGATCCCGGTATTGTTTACTCTTTGCTGGGCTTCCTAATGGAAACGCCGGGCTCCTTCTCAGCTTTAGAGTCCTGTTAGGGGATGAATCTCACCGCTGTACATCGCAGTCCGACACCCAGGAACGCCTAGCTGGAACATAGGTTAAAAAAGAAAAATTCGTTTCCTTTGCCGTTATATTTCGGTAGATTTCGATTTCGGCACGGTGTTTAAACTAGCTCATTCTTTCAACTATCTATAGAACCTCCGCTTAAAGTGTCATGTCTACAATTAATCAAATTATGGAAATTTTGCAACAGATCACCGTGATAGTCGTTCAACCAGTAAGTGAGGTTTAAAAGAAAGCTCTCGGTGTTGATCATTCCTTGAGGGATGCGCCATGAATTCGGCATCATCAATCATCGTTAGAGGCGAGTGAATGCATGTGGCCTTTACAATGACTCGCGATTGCCTACAGATGTATTGAGCCTGTACTGCTATCTTCCCAGACAAGTGTGGTACCAATTTGCCGACCCTGGACGGTTGAAGGGCTTGGTAGGCCTGACGCGCGAAGATCGATACCAGTGTGTATTACAGGGTGTTTCCGACCACTGTGCCAAACCCGCCCAAGCGAGGTGTGAACGTAAAAATTAGAATTAGCAACTTCCCATAAACTCACATATACCATTTTCAACCTCCAGTCGTCGAGTAATTTGATGACACACCAGAGTATAAAATTTGTCCAGATTGCGAAAAACAGTATTTCATTGGTCTCCGCTTATTCAACAGAGTCAAGGAAACTGCAAATTTGCTATGAAGCTGTTTTTCTACTGTTCTTGGCATTGAAATTGCTATATGTAGCTCATTCACGTTGTCACGGAATTTTCTCCTCGTTTTCTGGATAGAAATGCTGTACTCCTTCAGGTTAGTGTTTCAGCAGGCTGTGAGACTTCACCATGAGAGACATACTTAATAATCAAAATGAGGTATTAGATCACTGGATGGAAATTAAGAATCTGGTTTAAAAAACCTTTTAAAAATTATCCTATTATTTTAAGTCTTGATCGGTTCTCTTCTATGGCCATCGAAAGCAGAGAAAAGTGAAACTATCTGTGCGCCATTGAAATAAAACATTTTAACTGTTTAGAAGATATAATCCTGTCGATTTAATTCTTGGCCTTCTGATAGCAGGTTTTCCTTCTTCAGGTTGGCGGTGATGAATCGGAGCAGACGTCTGGGATGCTGCCAGCTTCTCAAATATCGTTTCTCAGCCATTCAACACAAGAAGGTGAACTTCTTGATAGAAGGTAAATAGGTTTGAGTACTGGATCATCTTTGCCATATATCCAGTTAGTGAAAGAGTAAAAAATCGAAAAAGAAACTAAATTTTGAAGCGTTTGGGTTACGTGGATGACACACAGCGCTAAATAATCTCATCTCTGGGATTACTACTGTAAAGTGCTACTAATACAAAGTTTAACTCATCCCTAGTTTCATGCTTCCTTACTCATATCGTTTTTTTTTGTTCACATAATAGTCCAATTCTTATTCACCTCACTCTTGACGACTTTTCTACACACTACACTATTATTTATTTTTATTATTTTATTTGACCCGTCTTCAACTCTGCTGTGCGCATCCTAGCACTTCTCACATTCAATTCGTTTCATCGCATCAACTATCCACGAAGATCTTCCAACTTTTGGGTGTGACTTCGGTTGCTGCTTGAGGATCTTCATTTCATCTGAGATGTCGTATCATGCTGGTCGAGCAATTCCCCTGGAGTCCTGAGATGGCCAGGCTGGAGTGATTGGAAAGCAGAGAGTAGTTTCTTTCCAGACAAGTTCGCTACCAAATTTTCCGACCTCGAAGAGATGAGAGGTTTGGCTGGTCCGGAACGGAATCGAACTAGCACTATGCTCATGATGACGGGCAACGCTACAACTGTGCTATCCGCCACCCTTATAAAAAATATTTATATATTTGCGTTGTTATATATTAATCGGAGTTCTCAGTATTCATTGGGAGTCACAAAATCTCCACATTAAATATCTCAGTACTTTTTATGATATTGTAGGAATTCTGCTTTCTTTAACTATCTGTTTTAGCGGTTTTTTCTTCTTCTGGTTATGTTTCTTTAGTGTATATGCCTTCTTCGATTACCATTTAGAGAGGAGACCATTCGAAATAACGAACCCCAAAATCGGCTTGAGAGGAAAATCATGACAGAAATTGGACATATTGCCGAATCGACTCCGACGGTCAGACAACAAAGGTACGAAAGTAATGCTACATCTGTCTTCTTCCTTATCGATTCATTTTCTCCATATTTCTTTTTCAATTTTACTGGTTAGTAAGTAGTTGAAGCTCATCTATTATCTACCAAAAACAAAGCCTGTCTATTACTGTATTACTTTGGTGATATGTCATCTATTACCGGTTGTTGTTTGTTCTCTGCAACGTCGTTAATCGTCAAATGGGACCAGAAAGCTTTGGCTCCATCGTTGTTCAGAACATTCCCGTAAGGTCCAATAGCTCAAACAAAATGCTCCAAATTTTTTTGTTTTCTTCCATTTATTTCAATTTTTGCTGTCAGACGATTCACAAAAGCAGCTTGCCTTGTGCTGCAGTTGTTTTTGTGCAATGCTAGCCAAACTTTCCCAGAGCAAACCGTGAATTGTCAATTAGAAACTGCACGAAACTGCTTCCTGTGGTCAAACATAATCGACTTGGATTTCGACATGTTTAAGATAAATGAGGGATAAAGTTCTCGGCGTTAATCAATCCATGAGGGATGCGCCGTACATTCATCTTCATTAAGCATCGTTGGAGATGTCTGGATGCATATTTGGCCTTTACAATGACTCGCGGTGGCCTACCTGTGTATCGAGCCTGTGCTGCTATCCTCCCAAACAAGTCCGGTACCAGTGTTTATTTAGGCTATTCGTACCAGCCTACCAAGAATGTTTAAGAATAGCCTAAATAAATTGATCTGCATGACAGAATCTGAGAGTTCATCCTATGATTCCACCAATATTTAACGGAAAGTGTGCAGTCGGTTATGTTTCGTGTTCTTCTTCATATCCACACCAATCGACGACCAACACAAGCTGATGTCGCAGCACTGAATCTCGAAAATAATAGGCTCAGTTCGTTCGTATCAAATTTCTCAGGCAAGTAATCCGTTCACGATTTTTATTCAGTGAGAAAGTCCGATATCACTATTCCGTTAGTAGAAATTCTTAAAAAAACAACAAGGTTCGGTTTGACAAGCCTCTAGTGGATGGCGGTACTTGTTTGAAAACGTCGAAGTTAACAGTAAGTTTGGTCAACACTGGTCTTGGCTATTCTACAGCATAAATCTAGATTTTATAAAATATGTCGAGACACCTTTCAGGACTGAGTGCTATCGTATGTGGAAGTGTTACAAAATTTCTAGTATCGTTTACTGAATTCATTCGCGACTTTAACATTAGTAGTCTGCTATAGATACTTTTATCACCATCTTTTATGCTACAAATACTTTTTATCACCGTCTAAAAAGTCCCCTGTAGATACGTTTTATCACCGTTTAGCAAAGGACATATAATCTTCTAATCCGCTTACTTGAACTGAGTGCCAAATATATATTGTGGGATGCCCTTAACCACTTTGCTACACCTGTCCTCTTCCAAACGTATATTCGGCTTTTATTTGTTATTCATCGTCATCAAGGGAAGGCAAATTCTTAAGAGTTATGCCACTTCAAGCTTTCAAAACTTACGTACAGAAAATTTCACATTCAAAGCAGATGATCCTGCATAAGAAGTCGTGAAGGAAATACGGTATATATTGACTGATAGGAATAGATTATTAAAGGAGCTCTACTACGAAAGTACTGTAATCGTTGACAGAAGTTATTAGAGGAAATCAAACGAATAAAATAAATCTGAAAAAAATATACGCAATTTAGGCACCCGTCTAGAAATATTCACAGAAAATCAGATTGTGTCAGTAATTAATCAACTTGTTGATCAATAATGAACAAATAAACGCGAAAATACATAGAAGAAGGTTTCTATACAATTCCATTCAATACAAAACTGAGAAGAAAAAAATGTTTTACAGCTCAGCTTTAAGCTTGTTCTTCCACCGTCGGGCCGCACTATACATACATGAGATGATTTTTGAGAATTTGACAAAACGTGTAAACATGAATCACGTACGTCGTGTGCACTCCATTAAGTCATTACTCTTCGTGATGCGTTCCATTTATAGCGCCAGTTTTGCTATAGAAATAGATTTAGGTTGGGAAATAGGACAAAATTTGATAGAGGTGAGAGGATTTTTGTAAATCAGTTGAAGGGAAGTTTGTCACATGATACATGTTAGGACAATGCGTTATAAACTATTAACCTTTTTCTTCATTCCAGATAGGAAGGACCTCACAAGTAATCTAGTCATCAGCTGAGTGCTGAAGTTCTCTAATTAAGGAGGTGGAGCATAACATAACAATTAAAACAGAGTGTTACAAGTTTGCAAAGCTGACAGCCTGTTGACCTCTACCGGACATAACCCATCGATGAGAGTTGTAGCTGTTCGGATCAAAGCTCGGATGTCCACATGTTTTCTTCACGAACGTGATGACGGCGTACCGTCTCTAGTAAGCGTTATGCGACTTTGTTGTGATCGCTTATGTGACGACATAGAACGACTTCGTTTGTATAAAAACAATAAGGTAAGCATTGTTCCCTGAGATCCCATGACTATAGTGAAAATGTAGTGCCATACGGTAGTATACGGTGCATACAGTGTGAAGTACTGTAAAATCTGAAGTGAAAAAATCAACAGGACCCATCTTTTCTTTTTATTCTGAAGTTTTTGTTTGTTTACTTTTTTCGTGTTGGTTTAAGGTGACGCAGTTAGTTTTTGAAAAAAACTTTCATTGCAACAAAAACTGTTATAACTATGTTTACTTTTTTATTTACTGCCTACTATAATTTTTAAGGCAGAGTATTAAGCGAAGTAAACCACGACGATGCTGAGTTATTCACGAAACTCTGGGACCTCTGGCCAGATCGAACCACGGTTTCCTTTTCCAGTGGGCTCTTTCATTACACACTGCGTCGTCACGGAGGCCCTTGCTCTGCTGCATTTCTCTCAGCTACTTTTCTCTCTACCAGTGCCATCATCGATCAACAGGATTGATCTGGTGAGCCCACATCGGCACGAACCCAGTTAAGCTGAGGCTTCAGTCGTCGCAGACCAAGGGCCTCCGTGGCGCAATGTGTAATGCGTGTGTCTCCGGAAAGAGAAGTCGTGGCTCGATCTGGCCCGGACTCGGGATCCAAGTTTTGCGAAAATCAGCATCGTTGTGACTGTTATGACTTTTCCAATATTACGAAATTTACCACATGATTTCTGTATCAACGCTACAAGACTTCTAAAACCCAGTGATGATAAATACCTGAGGAACTTAATTGGCAACCTGATTCACTTCTAGTTCTAATTTTTCTTCCGTTCGTGTATTTCTTCGTCACATTTTTACATTTATTTTTTGTGCATCATTTTTTTCATTGCAAACCCGGAATCAAAAAGTTGGAGAAAATCTACATAATTCTCGATGTTTTACTGCAAACTATAAAACTATTAACTGATAAGAATTAGACGCGATGTCTTCGGAGAAAAAAGAATAGAGTTCTTTAAATTAAAAAAAAATTGTTTGAGAGAACTGAATCGCACGATCGTGCGTTTTGCGCGAACATCCTTAAAGCATAGAACTTTTTCTAACTTTTTAGAAATCCAAGTGTCCTGCTGGTTTCATTTAGAGGCTTTACCTTAGTCTTTTTTAAGTTTCCTTATTGCCTTACTTATAAGGGACATACCCACGGCATTCCTAGCGACACTTGCATGAGAACAACGGCGACGATTTTTGAACACAGATATTGATCCGTATATCGAATCTAAAGACAGTTTTCTAAGAAGCTAAATGAATAGTTTTCTGCAAAGACAGTTGTCAACGAGATTTTATTGGTAAAAATTTTTTTCAAAACCAAAATTTCTTCTGAACATCTCGTTCTCTTCCTTCCGCCGAGAATCTAACAATGTAAAAGTTCACTGATCCAATGATTGCTTAGATAAGTTTTTTTCCAAAGTACCTTGAGATAGCCGTTCCAGTTTTTCCCCACATACAATTTTCGATTATTACGGATCGTACGACACCCATATGAGTAGGTTCATGCCATGACGGCCGCAATACTTGATTTTCTTCGTTTACCTCATTTGTGCCCCCACGTGAATAGCTGTGCTCTTTCCAAGCTTAGGCAACAGTAAGTAACGAACGAAAACTTCAGTTGCAACTAGATACCTAGAGCACCGATTACTGGAAGTGATTGGACCATAAAGGTCTCTGTTCGTTTTTATATTAGAAGGACCTAGCAAATGTTAAAGTTTAGAAGTATTTGAACTACTTACGCTTTTGCCAAGTGTTCTGTTTGTTCCGAAGAGACGTCGGCAGACCAGAATCGTACATACTGTAGCATTAAGAACCAGGAAAGAGACTGGTATAATGACAGCGTATACGACGTAATCGGGCCGCACCCAACAGAAGCAGTCACCGCGATTGAAAAACTCCGTCAGCACCAAAAGCAGAATCGAGCTTGTGAACGGTAACACTTAAGGGAATTGCCTTCTATGTGGCTCATAACAGGAATTCTATGCAATTTGTAAACAAAAACGAAGTTAAACTTTTCTAAGCACGCTTTTTTCTCAACTAATGCTCTAGAGGTAAACCTAGAACGAGTTTAGAGAATTATAGGCAGCCAAAGCAAATGAGTGGTGGAAGATCGTAAGGTTTTTTCGTTTTTCATATCTTTTAGTAGTTCACAGGCAACTAACTGGTCTTGGAAAAAGAGAATTTAATCTAATAACGATAATACCATTCATCGCTTAAAGTTCTGTCCTCGCTGTAGCCATTAGTGCTAAATTCTGGGAATAAGCCAACGTTATAGTACCCGTTTTTAAAAAGTAATTAAATAAATAAATAGAATGAGTACTAAATAAGAGTACTGGGTTGATTGCACTATAGAAATCTTAGCAGATTTAGCCTATGATGATTTTATTCAAAAGCACTTACATACGCTAGCAGTCACTGACGTTGATGGTAGAAGGATCACCTGGATGATCGGATGGATGGCGCAGAACATGGATGTGAGTCGAATTGCTTGGAAAACTGTCAAAAGCACCGAACTATAATCGAAGCAGTGTAAACGAAGATACTCGACAACTGCGAGATTTTGGTGATTTAATGTTCTGCAGAAGAAATTCTACTAAACATTGTCTTTTGTGCCTCATCTGGACCGAGTTATCCCTATTTGTATTCGATTTTCCGTTATTCCGGTACGGTGACTAATAGCTCTATGCCCATATTTGATTGCACCCATCCACGTGGTGTTTCGAAGAGACGTCTCATGCGTCGAATAATCTAATTCATTCCTATACTATAAAAAAGGGTAAAGCTCTCGGCGGTGATCAATCCCTGAGGGATGCGCCAAGCATTCAACTTCATTAAACATTGTTGGAGGTGATTGAACGCATATCTGGCTTTTACAATGATTCGCGGAGGCCTACCGATGTATCGAGCCAGTGCTGGTATCTTCCCAAGTTTGGCACCAATTTGCCGACCATGGATGGATGGAAAGCATGGTGGGCCACGAGCGCGGGGATCGATTTCACGTATGTGTCGCAGGGCGCCTGCGACCACTGCTCTATACGCGTTCTTTTCATATACTATAGTACTAGTTATATTTATAGTTGATTCTATGAACGCTTAAAGTCGACGAGTATTACCTCATTAGTAAGAAGTACGACAACGATGCGAAGACCTGGCATGCTTTTCCAGAGACGCTTCTATCGAAGAAAATGGTAAACACCACATAGAATAGTAGTAGAGCGATTTTGTGAGCCAGACTGACGAAGTCAGTGTGCGGAGGCGAAGAACCTCTGAGACAACGAAATGTGCGATGAGATAGCAATGGTGGCCAACTGAAAATACGATTTTCGTCTTTCGTAAAGAAAAGAGTAATCAGAAAGGAAAAAACCAACCCCTAACTTCTATGTATTTACGGTATTCTCACAAAACTCAACCATCATTTAATGTTTTTGTGTTGACCGAAGCTCGAACCTGACGTCTACTCTTCTTATTTCGGTACGAAATCAAACTTTCGTTTAAGTCTTTATTTGTATCCTTTCATTTCGTACCGTCCCGAGCACCTCTATTCGTTTCGTTGGGTTGAAATGGTCGTCTGTAAAAGCGACGTCTGGGTTCTCGAAGGTTATTCGGCTGTGGTTTGATGATCCGTCGTCTTCTCGTCTTATTAACACCTTAGTTGCTGCTTGAGCGTTGTTTTCTTTGGAATGCTGGCATATCCGTAATAAGGAGTTCCAAGGTCGCCATGACATTACGTCTTACGTCCTTAGGACTTGCAAATCAGAGGAAGGTTTGCATGGCAGCGATTACCGCGCCTAATTCCCAAGGACATCGTAAAAGCTCAATCCCAAAGTGGTGCATAATTGCAAAAATTTTCCTTTAGAATCCTTCAAGACAAAGAATGCATGCACAACTTTTGTTTAGATCTTCGAGAAAATCCTCAATCGTTAGTTCAGTGCAATAAGTGAAGCTAACACCTTTCTTCCTCTCTTTCTTAGAGTTGTTTTCGCAGAGTAAAGTACACCAATAAATTACAAACAAAGCTCACTACGTGCAGACGTTCATGAATATCAAAAACGTTAACGAAACGACCGACAGTGTGTTTACGATATAGCCTAGATCCATGAGCGTCGTGTCGCAAACATTCGGATCGTCCAGTTCACCGTCCTGGAAAAATGGCCATTTAAGTACAGATTTGTTCTCCTTTTAGATAAAGCATTTGTGAGGTCTAACTTTGGGATCTAATACTTATAGCTTACTCTTTTTTTACTTTTACATTTCTTATCCATGTATGCTTGCTCAGATCAACATTAAATCGAAAGAGTCTTATTCTAAATCGGCCAACTAGTGCAAACCTATTATGCTTTGGCTGTGTTGTCCTTATCTATCACTGATCTCATAATTTAAAGTTTGCTCAAAGTTCATATAAAGGGTAGAGGATAAGGCTGTTGGTCCTGATCAATCCATCAAGGACGCGTCATACATTCGACTTCGTTAAGCATCGTTTGGAGGTGATTGAATGCATATCCGGCCTTTACAATTACTCGCAGTGGCTTACCGATGTATCGAACCAGTGCTGCTATCCTCGCAGACGAGTCTAGCACCAATTTACCGACCCCAGAGGGATGGAAGGCTTGTTGGGCCATGGGAGTAGAAATCGATTCCACATGTGTATTGCAGGGCGCCTCGGACCACTGGGCCACACTAGCCCCTCAAAGTTTGTATAACGAAAAAAATTGCTACATAATAAAAAAAAACTCGCAGCAACACAGAAGGTCTGGAGTATCAAAAGGTTTATAAACTTAGACGATATGTTCAGTTTAAAAAGAGGAATTAAAATAATGGTATCTGGGAAAGAATAAGATTAGAGCTTACAACTATAAGAGTGAAATCGGTCAGATGCTGGCAACGAGCCACGACCGTGTCGCTCTCCGTGGTGGTTTCGCATTGGTCTTTAGTCGACCATTCCAACTTCTTCGTATCCCACCATGTCACACGAAAACGTCCATGAAGTGGACTAAGGATCTCAAAAGCGTCCGATCATTCCTTTCAATTAGCGGAATCAACCAGTGAATATCACCTAGACAGCGACTTACGTTTTTGATGCTGAACCTTAATTCAGTCATAATATTTGCATCGACGAGTCGTGAAATCACCTAAACAATGATTTTGACGTTCATCCTAAAGCATAATATGACAACAATTTCAGAAGAAGATGTAGTACAATATCTTAATGTTTTTGTCTTATAGAACTGAGTCTTCAGAAAAGTTTTTACTCGTTCTGCCCCTTCACATCCATCGCCCACTATCAAAGTAGTCTTCGCTGCGCAATGTGACTTCTGATAGCTTCGATATCTTTCCCAGATATCGTGCAAAACTGTGAGTACAGCTAGTATATGTAGATGTTGACCAATCATGGGCGCGTGTGGCGCAGTGGACGCCTTGCAACACACACGTGAAATCGATCTTTGCGCCCATGGCTCACCAAGCCTTCCATCCCTCCGGAGTCTTCAAATTGTTACCAGACTTGTGTGGGAGGATAGCAACACTGGTTCGATACATAGGCAGGCCACCGCGAGTCATTGTAAAGGCCAGATATGCATTCAATCACCTCCAAACGATGCTTAGTGAAGTCGAATGCATGACGCATCCTTCAGGGATTGATCAACGCCGGTAGCTTTATGGTTTATCCTTTTTAACCACTCATATCTTGAAGGCGGTTTTACACTTTTACTACTCCGCCGGGTTTTCTTCAAATAACCGGCTTTTCAGTACTAATCTAGAAGTGTCGCTCGATTATGGAAGCCAGTGAGATATTTTGGCGATAGTCTAAATTACAAAATGTGGTCTGATTTTACCTGCAACAGTTGCAGGCTTTACTCTTCATAAAAAAGTTACCCATCTCGAATCAAACTTATTTTATAGAAAGCGCATCGATCGCCACGTTCTTTAGCGTCCGAAAGTGTGATAGAAAAATTTTAAAGACCTTGAGTTTATGTGGAACGCTCCCACCTTCGGATATGTCGTCGGTTAGAAACAAATAGGCTTTACTTATATTGGGCTTCTATCTGTGCAAACATCTATTAAAATAAAAAGTGAAAGAGGGGATGATTGGAAATCTAAGTTTTAAGTAGTAAAACAGAACGGAAGATGATTAACGGTGGAGATAAATTGACACCTTTCCATTGTTGAGCACTGTGCCGCTCATCACGGGTGATTCTTTGGGTAGGGCGATTTGTCGCATACAGCGTGACGGCACGTCATCCTCCATTTCGAAATTACTACCTAGAACCCATTAACAAATAACTTATTGTCTTTCTAAAGATGTTATATTTTTCTAGGCATATTATTGTATGTATGACAACGAAATTGCGCCATCTTCTTCGCCATTCTAGATGGCCTAGAGCATCTTGTAATTCAAAAAATGTTCCTTTAAAAGCAATTTTATATTGGTAATGAAGAGTTGTGATGATATGCTGCTATCCTATAGTGGTTTTCATAAACCCGCTCCGAATGGTGCTAACTCTACGACTTTCTAGATGATCAAGCTTTCCAAGTTTAGGGAAAGCGAACTTCAATTACTAAACAAATAACAATCCATATCATATTCACCCATAGCTTGTCCATCTAATTGCTTCGCATTGATGGCGAAATGGGCACCTTCTTGTGCAAGGGTGAATCCGGAATTGTATGAGTGGTACTGCTTCGAGCCGATGAACAATTTACGATTCCGATAGATAGTCAAGTAGGCATGAGACACTGCAATAGTTTATTACAGTACTAACTACTAAATACATCTAATTTTTTACTTTCCAACATTCAGTCAATGAGCACCATCCGTATGACCTTCAATCCCATTAATGACTCAACAGAATACCAGTGTGGTCTTATTCCTTTCTGTAGCTCACTGGAGCCGTATAACTATGAATATTGCTTGGCTGATGAGAAGAGCGCCATAATCTTCAATAGTAAGTATTTTGATCGGATTTGGGTAGTCATGGGTAGTCATAAGAAGCTTGTCATACTCTATTACTGCTGTTGAGTGAGCCGAAGACTCCATCGAAGTAGACTTTCACTTTATCTGGTGATTTTGAACCTTCTCTTATTTATACCTTTAACCCACTCTGTATTTTCAAAGTGATTTTTTGGACTCTGTCTTAAGAAGAAGCTTTACCTTCTTGTTGACGACAAATTTCTGCTATGGAGATGTAGACTGAATTATGTTGGTCGCTTAGTGGCATCGATCCGTTGAAGATTTTGAATATATCGCCGAAATCAAGAAGTCCATCGTCTGTGGGCGATGAGCAATCAATGCTTCGAGCTGTGAAACCGAAATTCTCGCCATAGAGAAAGTCGAACTGGCTAGCATTTGTGTGCTGCACCAATGTAGGCAGTAGAGAGAGCAAGCTGAATCGATATTTCCTTTATTTATGTGCTCTTATAAACTTCTTCTTAAGCTGACGCGAGGCTGGTACAGATCTTCGTTGTCGTTGTCGTTGTTTTTGATGTTATTGATCGATGACTGACGCTTCGGCGACTTCGCCTTCCTCAGAGCCGTGATGTTACGTGCGGGACTCATCACAACGACAACGAAGACCTGTGCCAACCTCGCGTCAGCTTAAGAAGATCGGTTTATAAGAGCACATAAATAAATATACCACCTCAATTTATAACATCATATAAATAAATATATCAACTATCTATGCCGAGGTTTATAGAAAGTCGGTCTTTCGAAATATTTTCTTTGTTATTTATTAACATATGGTTAGCAAGAACTTTATTTTTCGTATCTCCTTCACCTATTTGCTTTCGTTACAATAGCGGAAAAAATGGACGAGGTTACTGATACTACCACTATTAGGTTGAAATATTTGCAAAACTTGGACTCCAGGCCAGATTCGAACCCGCGATTACACTTTCCAGGGCTCAAGATATACCCAATGCATCACTGAGACCTTTGCCTTACTTTTCTCTCGGTCTCTCGGCTCATTATGAGGATTATTAGAGAAAATGTAAAAAGAGGACATTTACAACTAAGCATAAAAGTTCAAAAGTGGGCTTTTCGCTCTTCTCCAATCAGGAGGCTCAGTGTCTTCGAACGCTGTGCCTTCCTTATTGCTCACTTTCTGGCAGAATTGTAGGTTTTTGCCAGAATCTTACCAGTGGGGAGTATATAGTCGAACGATCATTAGTAGAAATTTGAGAAATCGAGAGAACGTAAACGTGAAGCTATCCAGAAGACACCTACGTTCCTGCACTTTTTCCGTCCTTGACATTTTTAGAATCTGCAGACAAAATACAGTCGATATTGAGCAGAATGTTGCGAGCGTCCTGAAATTTAACTTGAGAGCGCTTGGTATTAGATGCGATGTTATGGGAAACTTTTCACTCATTCTGCTCTCTAATTGGTCCATTCCAACTTTTTGACAATCAACTTGAAAATAAAGCAAATTTACTTAAGGAAACAGTCTCTTAAACTAAACGCAGCGATTTTTTGAACTCATTTCTTTGAAATGAAGTATGCTAGAAATTTCTTTACCTTTCCTACACTTTTGCCTTTTACCTACATCTCCTGAGAAAGTCGTTTTGAGACCCAAACAGGCAATGATGACTTTTCTACCAATACTCTTAGTGTTCGGTAGCAGAACATTTATTATAATGAGGGTAATCCTTCGAATTTTACTTCAGTAATCTACCCATATATATATATATATATATATATATATATATATATGTTTCAAAAATATACAAACAACGAACATAGCGTGATAAGTAGAAGGCCCCTGTGATATATACAGTGAAAAGGAAGACGTCAAAGCATTAGGCGAAATAAATATCTATACCAAATTGGTGTAAGCTGAACAACTTGAAAACATATACATTGATCGTTGGTTAACACCCGCCAATTGATCTCCTTACTCCTAAAGGGTAAGTAAATTGGTGCAAGACCTATTTGGGAGGATGGAAACAGTGCTTTGACGTACTGGTAGAAGTCTATCACAACCCTTTCTACAGCCCAAACGGAGTTCTCTACGATTCGCAAGCCCTGCTTCTCTGTTCACTTTATCTTTCTCACCTCGGCTCGAAGGCCGTCCAGATTGGCACTATTGTTCAGAATAATGGTGATTTCCTGGATTTCAGTCGAAGAGAGACTGTTGCGTGCATTTGCATACTTGAGTGTTTCGTTCAGAACCCGAGATACATTGTTGTTGCCCACACCACTCTTAAACATTAAAAATTAAAGGACGGTTGGCTATATGAGGGTCTAATGTTTTTTCGGTTTCCTTAACATTTAATGCAAAGCAGTTTAAAATTTCACGAGCTATCAAGACCACAAGACATCTTTACTCTCACTGCTGTTCGATGTATCTCGAAAGCGCTCTATTTCTTAAAACCCTAGTCTATATCGCGGTCATCGATAATGACAAAGAAGTTATGAGTGAGGTTGGTTGCGAAATAAAATAAAAATAAATGAAAAACGGACCTCGCTAAGATTTTTTAGCGATTCTGGAAAGTCGGTTGCTGTAGTTACTGAATGTGTGGGGAGGACAGAGGAATACGTGGATTCTACCGTAAAAGAATGCGTAGATGCTACTGTACTGGGAACGCCGGACGCAGTTGTTCTGATTCTTGCTCTTGTTGAGATCGACCTAGTTGCTGTAGTAATTATAGCACTGGCTGCAGAAGTACGGCTAACCGTGGTCGACGTTGTACTGACATCATGGCTAGAATTAAAACTTTTAACAGCTGTACTATTCATTACTCTAACAAAATTTCATTTCAAAAAAAATCAAAATCGGGCAGATTTTAGGGAAAACTCCCTTCAAAGAAGATCAGCTTAACGAAAATTCACACCGATTTACATGTTTAATAGAATAAACTTGACCTTTACTGTCTATGCAGGTAAATCATGTTTAGACCTTAGCTATGTTCATATCCAAAAACACAATGGAAGCTTCAAAATTATCGACAAACCCCACGTGAACCTCACGTTAGTTTCGTGGTTATAAGAAAAATATGGGCGGAGCTACTCACGATTATAGTTGGGTATTTAGATGACCCATCCGTACCGGTTGCGGGCCCCAGCATAATTTTTTTCGTAGTTTTGCTGCCTTAGCTGATGTGCTTCTTCAGAGTCCCGAGGTCGGCCTAAGTAAAGTCTGCTCCATGTCGTCACCACCACAAGCATTAGCCGCCCTTGTGAATCACAGAGATTTGCCACCATGTGACTAGTTTGATACTAGCATGCTGGTGGATCCTGATATTGGCTTACCCTTAGCTGGGCTTCCTGACGGATACGCCGAACTAATTTCCAGCTTGGGATACCTTTCCTAAAGGATAGAGCTCCCTTCTCTTCCTCCCTCACCCGCTACATCGCATCCGGACACCCAGGAAAGGAACACTTCCCAGCCACGATGAGGCGGTGAACTATTGGTTGGGAGGGCTTATGATTATGGAACTGTGATTTTACGATAGGTGACTGATGGCATTTCTAACCGTCTTCTAATACAACGCAGTGCAATATAGAAGCAAAAATTATTTACTATGTTCAGAAAATACATGAAGGAGAGGTTTTTTATTCACTATTCAAGAATTTTCAACTGATATCGAAGAAAAAATTGTACCATTAGCAACTAATGAGGATATCTTTTAAGTAAATGGATACATGAATAAGTGAACGATTAAAGTTGAAGATAGCATAATGGTTACATTTAGAACTCCACTAACCATTTATTATCGCGAGTAAGTAGAGGGGCTCTCCAATCGCACCCACTATCCAGTCCGTTGCAAACACATAGGAGCAGATCTGGGACTTGTCGAACGCGACAGCTGATAGTACTCATTGGCTGTTGACAGTAATCGTAGCGAATCTGTACCGTCGAATCATAGTCGCGAATCATCAGCACTTCGTTGTCGACGTCGTCGGCAAAGCGAAGTGTGGCATGGTCACCGTAGTCAGTCATTGAAGCGACACACATGTCTTCACATCTGAATTATTCCCATATATGTCAAGTTATCACTTATGGATGTTGCTGTGAACTATTTGCCTTTAACTTTACGAAAGGTAGATTCATTAGAAAACGATGAAAAACTAATAAATGATTACGTTCAACATTTATAAACGTAATAAAAACAGATAGTTTTGCGCAAATGTGAGCTCTTGGATTATCGTAGTTCCTAAAATCTCCGATTGTATCGGCGGTGAGGAATGATAAAAAAGTCATAATACTTCAGTAAATTGGTGCCGTTCATTCATATTATTGCTAAATTTCCAACACTCCTAATTATTCGGAACATCCGGTTACGAATGACCAAGCATTTGCAAGAAATGGAAGTTGAAAACCCGCGAAATTGGCAGTTCTTTCAAATCTTCTGATAGTTGTGATATATCGCTATTAATCTGAGAAAATATCAGTAAGTTTTTATTGTGTTGTAAATCAGAACTTAAAGCTACCTACTTTTTGTTGTTCACCATGAAGCTTGCACACGGTGTAATATGACGTGGAAGCTCGAACATGACTTGCATAACATCGTCCGGTGTTAGTAGAGCAATGATATTGACGGCGATATCAGTGAAGGAACAATTGACGTCAAAAGATCTGGCGTACAGAATGGAATAATTGGCGATGACTTGGACTTTCCTATGTGTCCTCGTTGTCATTGATGAACTCGTTGATCTTGTCACTGGCGTGGTGGAGGCAGTAGCTGTGGTGGTTATGGTAGATCCCTTGGGCGGAAGTGTTGTCTTGTTGCACCTGACGCATTTATTTATTTATTTTTATTGATTAAACTACGTAATATATAAGATGGATGCCACGGATCTTAAATCCGGACCACCATGTTCTTCCCCGAGACGTAGTGGATCCAGGAGATGGATTCCCCGTCTCTACTGCGCCGATTTGTTGCATACCTTTTGTGTCTACGAGGACGTATTCGTGTTTGCATGCATGGATGTGTTCTCGTCTATTCGGATTGTATTCTACGAGTCAATTCAGCCAAAGGCTCTTAATCAAGTGCCAGAGAATCAAGTGGCGGTTAGAAGTCGCCTCCGACAAATGAGCTCGTCTTCTAGTCTAGTCTTGAAGAGACCAACAATCTACACGTAGGTATACCCAGTCCCACGTTCAGAGTGCGGCAAGCAATACGAGGGAAATAAGGGCTAAACACAGTAAAGTAAGTGATTTTCATTTCAGTGAGCTTGTAAGAGCCCCTATTTGGCAGCGATGGGTAGGGTGCGCGCAGAGAGGCTGCTAAAATCTCAGGACCTTTTCATGTTGACCAACTCGCAGAGGATTAAGGTGGCGATATGTACCTACAATGCACGCACACTTGAACCCACACTTGTCAGACGTGAACATCGATTTAGTCGAGCAACTAAAAACCTTAACTGGACGTTTATGGTTGAAGAGATGTGGGTTAATACCAGGTTTGACATCCTTCGCTGTCTATGCGGACTGCCATCAACTTTTAGCGAAGATGAAGTCGAGGCGTTGCATATAGACTTGGATAAGTTCTCCAAAAGAGACCATGCGTTCATTGCGACTATTATCGAAAGTTTTAAAAGTAATATTGGACCCGGAAGAACGTTCCTTTGGAACCGCGGATTAGAATGGAACGAGGAGGGTGAGCGGCTCTCCGAGTTTATCCTGACGACTTATGGTAACTCGCAATTTAAAAGCCTCATTATCAATGTTGCAGATCGATCTAGTGAAAAGTACTATAGCGGAAGAGACTACATTATAGTAAAACGAACGTTTTGCCTAAACCACGTCGGGTTTGTCTCATAATTCTACACTGGATCGGACCATTACCTTGTTGGTGCAAGGTTTCATTTTTTTCGGAAAGGACAAAAAAACCGCCAAGTTCAAAAAACGAACTCCCTAAACTACCATAAACTGGGATTTATTCAATTTACAAGTCGGCTGTTGGGAAGATACCATTCTCGATAACATCAGCGAGGAATACGAGCTGCTTATTAAACGTCTTCAAGTTAGCGCTACGAAAGCTGAGAGTTCGAAGGTCACCAAGAGACTACTGTCTCCATAAACACTAAACAAGATACTCCGGCGTAGAATCGCGCGAGTTACCTGTAATTTTCAACACCCGTAGTGACTTGCAAAGCAGTGCACACAGGCGATAAAAGAATGTCTTAAAGAGCCACCGAAAGTTCGCCAATTGCAAGACCAAGATGATTGCACTCCGACACCCAGACGGAACATTTACAGTCTCCAGAGAAGCAATGAGGAAAATCATTCACGAATACTACTCAGATCTCTTCGATAACCACGCCCACCTTCCCTCATCTTAAATAAAGAAAGGTGACTCCCAAGTCCGACTTTCTGTTAACCTCGGCATTGATTGAACAATTCTTTCTACTTCTGCGCAGCAAACACGAGGTGCTATTTTATTTCTTTACTTACGTACAAGCTGACGTTTCGGCCGATTTCGCCTTCCTCAGAGCCTGGACAGCAATTTATTCAGCCAAACACCTCCATAACCAAACAGAGAAAACGCTAAACCAAGATTTCAACCACATGTAACACAGCTCCGCACACTCACCGCTTTCAATGGCTCTTCCACTGAGTATGTCGCGTGAAGATCAACCGCACAGAACTCTACTGTAGATATATAGATGACTGCTTTGTCCTTTGCTCAACACAAGAGGAAATGGACAAATGCTTCGAATTGTTAAACGCACAGTCAGAGTATATCAAGTTTCACCCGAGAGAAATCGAAAGAAAAATGGCTTCCATTCCTGAACGTCCAAATTAACCTGTCACAAAATGGCTACATTACGAAGTGGTACCGAAAGCCAAGTAATAAAAAAATCTTGGTACATTGCCTCTCTTCTTACCCCTCTCACACGAAAAGAGCGCTTGTAAGAAATATGTTTCGAACAGCAACCAACTTGTGCACGGGAAGAGAGCTGAGAGAGGAGTCCTCCCGGAACTTGGCACGGCAAATAGCCATTTCCAATGGCTACAAAACTGTAGCTCGGGATAGGTGTTGGGGAAATTGGAGGCCCACAAACGACAACTCTAGCGATAAAAAGGTTCCGTTTATCCTACCCTTCATCTTAAATGATGTAAGTGTAGCTATAACACGTTACTTAAGAAGGGCGGGTCTAGAAAATTCGGTAAGCGTAGTTGAAATACCATCGAGTAATCTTAGGGGCCAGCTAGTTAGTAACCGCTTGTACGACCGTGTATGTGCAACGCAAAATTGCATAATTTGCCCCAATGGTAAAGACGGTTATTGCGTGAGGTCGGATATAGTTTATCTGATCTCCTGTAAGACGTGCGGAGACGAATACATTGGCGAAACGAGCAGACCCCTCTGTGTCCACATAAAGGAACACCTAGCCGGCAAACGTAAATCAAATACCCCGCTAGGCATGCAGAGCACCCAGAGACATAACGGGGAGGACTTTGAAGTTCTTGTCACGATCCTCGCGCAGGAATCAAGAACACAAGCGCGCAAAACTCTCAAGGCATTCTGCATTAATTCCAGAAATCCGAAAATGAACCGCAGGGAAGAATTCCTCATTATCACGCGTGATATAGGGCAGTATATAAACCTGTTATTCTGATAAAATGGGCGCAATTCAGTGTGAACTCTGTGCGGTGGGTCTCCACGTTAGTGGAAGACTCATAGAAAGCGGTGAGTGTGCAGAGCTGTGTTAAATGTGATTCAAATCTTGGTCTATCGTTTTTCCTCTTTGGTTATGGAAGTGTTTGGCCGAATAGATTGCTGTCAACTTGACCTTTCCAGGCTCTGAGGAGGGCGAAATCCGCCGAAACGTCAGCTTGTACGTAAATAAAGAAATAAAATAGCACCTTGTGTTTACTGAACAGAAGTAGAAAGAAAGGTGAACATCTGGTCTCACCAGTTCTGCCTTTCGAAATACGACATGCTGTTTCGTCGGTGACGAAATCAAACAACGTATGTCCGGACAGGATAAGATCTGAACGCTTGAAGAATCTTCCGTCAGTTCCCATAAACACACTAGCTCGGATCTGTTACCTGTCCGAATTCAAGATTCCCACTCATCGTAAGACCACCGAAACCGTGCTATTGTTCAAGGAGGATGATTTCAACCGTATCGGCAACTGTTGCCCAATATGTTTACTTCCTGTTGTCTACATACATTTCACTCAAGTCATCCTCAAGAAGAATGACAGAACATTGGACGAAGGATAGCAATGTGAGCAAACAGGGCCTCGAATATGATTCAGTATAATGGACCACATCCACACGATAACAATACTCACTGGAGTACTGCGTGAGTAAAAGAGACCTCTCTGTCTCGCTTTTACTAATTGAAGGAAGCCTTTCGACTCAGTTGAGATAGGAATAGTCGCAGAAGCATGGACAGCCAGGAGGTCCCTAGTCAGTGTACAAAAATTGTTTTTGAGTCCTACAAGAATTTCACAATCAATATATTACCATTCTACAACGACAGAACATCCAGTTAAAGACAGGCTTAGGCAAGGCTCTTTCATCTTATCGGAATTATTTACTGCCATCTTCGAAATCTTTATTCGAAAACTGGAATGGGACGAGGGAGTGAAAATCGATGGTCAGCAATTGCACCATCTTCGCTTTGCTGATAACGTCGTTCTTATAACACAAAGAATTAAACTAGAAGAACGAATATTAGCCGAATTTAAGCCTGTAAAATGATTGGTCTTCGACCAAATCTTACAAAAACAATGTACATGAGGAATGGATTGGTTTCCTATGCTTCATTCGCGCTCAGTTGAAAGAATATCTCCTAGTGCTCCAGACATCGCCCCGGAGTTGAGCAGGAAGAAGCGAGCGAGTTGGGGAGCTATCAAGGGTATCGAGGATGCAGTGAGTAGAACAAGGAACTCTAAAGTACTTCGCGCTCATTCGACCCCACGATTCCTCTTGCATGAACGTATCCGTCAAAAATCTGTTTGCCTTGTAATCAGGATGATCAGTCCGCGTTATCGAATACCTACTCGAAAATACGATGCTGAGAGTATCACGAATCATGTAAGTGAAGGAGTGGTTCCAAAGCCCCGATCTACGTTGGCGATTAAAAGCCAAAAGCGCTGTTCTATGCGCTAAACTATCTATAATAAAGTGAGCCTGACACGTAAGGCGTATGAACGACAACGGATGGGCAAGAGCCGTTAGTAACTGTATTGCCCGAGATCTCCAAGATACAGGAGGAAGACTATCAACTTGAAGGTTACAGTTCTTCGCGAAGGCGCCCGCTCGAGTCAGTCGACGATCAACAGGACGGCAGGTGATGGAGGTGATACAAGTGACAGGTTGGATAAATTATATTGTGCTGAGCAGATTTGGGCTACGCCATACGTATAATATAGGGATCTGATGGTCCTCTACCGTTTGCTTATGTGTGCGATAACCTCTTCGTATTTGGATGTGCATAAAGATGTATATTTGGATTTTTGCTTCTATATCACCCAGTATTTGTCCGTTGCCTAATAATACTAATTTTCGCCACACTGGAAGACCTAGTTACTGATCAGTAATTTCTTAATGGGCCAGTACGAGGTTTTTTATAGCGCTTATTTGACCATGAGCTAATCTCCTTACGCTATTACAGCACCATGTGAACCAAAACTCAGCCTAACTGTAATTGTCGACAGTATTTTAAGCTTGTAGTTCAAAAATACTGTTTTGATTCGCCTCGTCCCAAAAATACTATTATTTTGTTTTTTTTTCAGCATATCTAGAACCAGGTATCTCACAGTTTTCTGTTAACTTAAGGATTAGTTCTTGCATTGAGTATCACTAACAGTTTTGTGGGTGGTCCAGCTGATACGATGATAACTGTACTTTGATCATAGGAATGCAGAGGTTTGCGCAAAACTCGGAATCCCAAGCAAGTTTTGAATTTTTGACCTATACCTTTCCGAGAGTTCACGTACTATACACTACACCAGCCGAAGCCCTTCCTTTGCCTTTCTCTCAACCAGTTTTTACCATGATGGCCCTATTACTGATCTCTCGTCAACGGACATGGTCATGGAAACATAAATTGGCATTGAGCCTGGTTAAACTGAACCTCCAACTGAAAATACAATGTCCTAACTTTCATTTACTGAGTGTTTTTTTTTCATGGCAGGGTATCACTTCTTGTGATAATTCTTTGGCTTCGCATAAATCCACTCCTTTGTATGATCGTTGCTCTGATTCCACCGAGATAAGAATAAAATGAATGTTTCGTGTAATGTCGAACGATTTAATTGGGGTTCAAGAGCTAGCCGATGTTAACCGCTTTTCTCTTCTCTTCACATTTTAACATCTTAACACCTCTTCTTAACACGGGAATTATTTTATTCCTCGACATTTCGTTTTGACATCTATTGAGATGCTAGCATTAGCTACTGCTGTGATTATTATTGTTGTTGTTATTAAACGCTTGTTATTAAATTGTTAAATCGCGCCACACCTAACTAGGTGTTCAAAAGTATTCAAATGTAAACCGACGAGTATTTGAGGTTGAGCATTTCTCGAGCTCAGCTGAATTGTCTCGTTTTTCGAGAGCCTGATCTTGAAGCCAACTCCATTTCAGTTGAATCGTTTAATGTTAAACAAATTATTTTTGATGCCAAATATGTAGAATACGTGATGTCCACTCATTAAATCCGTGAAACAATCGAATATTAAAAGGATAGAGCGTGGATACATATCAGGCTCGCATAATGACGTGCGGTAGCCTCTCAATGTTTCAGCTCTGTGTTTTATCTTCCGATGAAAGAAAACCCGACCGAAGACTACGAGCTGCTTGTCGAAGGACTAAAAAGCTGTGCCGAATTCGTCTCAGTTCTTCAAGCAAGAAGATCGGATCGCATTTCCATCACTACTAAGGAGTTGCTCGAAAAGAGAAGTAAACTGAACCTTGATCCTAATGCAACACGGTTAGCATGGCTAGTAATAAGTGCCGACTGCAGAAGAGCTTTGCAGGAAGATCTACAACGGTGCAAGCAGAAGAAAATACTGGAAGCAGCAGAGAAAAAAAGCAGTCTGAAAAAATTCCGTCGAGACTTATGTGATTATAATGTTCCACCGTCAGCGCTGATGAGCGAAGATGAAATCGTCAAAACCTCCCGCCATGAAATGGAATTAATAGCGGAAACGTTCTACACCAACCTTTTCCGTTCCACAATCCCCGTCTCGGGCCCTAGTATCCCCGCTGGAGAAAAACAACTTGAAATTCTTCCGTCGGAGGTTTAAGTTGTGATAGAAAGCATGAAAAGAGGCACAGCTACAAGACCCGATAATATCACTGCCGATTTCCTTAGGGCTGGATTCCACAATTACATGTACTTCTCGCAGATCATATGACAGGCTACCTTCAAAAGGAAAAAATCCCAGACGAGTGGAGGACGTAGCGCACGACCATCCTGCCTATGAAAGGAGACCGAAAGGATCTTAACGCTTTTATTTACTGCCTTTTCCTTTTTAATGGCAGGGTATGTTGCGAAATATAACTCTTCCTTAGCGAGGAGCAGCGCACTTCACCACCACACCATCCGGGTCCTTCGCCAACACCGCATACACCTGCGGTCCGGAGTTTTGCAAATATCTCAGCATTTATACTGAAGGGATCTTCGTAATTATCGCCTCATATGCTTGCTAAGTGTACTCTACATGCTCTTGACGAAGATTATCCTCTCGCGCATATCACGGACATTGGATGAGGTGCGACCCCAATAGAGTAAGCAGGATTTTCGAAAAGAATTTTGCTGCATGGACCACATCCAAACCGCGTCCAGGGTTACCTAAGTTTGCCGGGAATATCATTTGCCTTTAGTTCTAGCCTTTGTCGACTATGAGAAAGCGTTTGACAGTGTCGAAACGAATACAATCCTATCAGCGCTCGTCGACCAAGTAGTGGACCCGTCCTACACAAGGACTCTATCCGACTGCACTACGAAAATACAGTTTTCCATCAATCTCTTACCACACTCACAGAAAAATAGGTTCGACAGGGCGACACAATATCGCAAAAGCTGCTTAGTGCCGCACTGTAGTGAATACTGAAGTCACTCGATTGGGGTGAGAAAGGCATACGTATTGATGGAAAATTCCTATCAAATCCGTTTTGCCGACGACATTGTCATCTTTTCAAGAAGTACTAGCGAAGCAGAGGTGGTGATCAACGAGCTCAACGAAGCGGGGAAAATGATTGGACTTCGCATGAATCGAAAGAACACCCAGTTCATGAAAAACCCATGGTGCAAAGGCGAAAAAATTGAATTGGGCGGCTCTCTCATTGCAGAGACCACTCGTACGTTTACCTTAAGCGATCAATGAACATAAAAAATAACATGAATGGGAAACTAGATAGAAGAAAGAGCGCAGCTTGGGCCGCATTCAGGCCTCTCAAAGAAGCCACCGACCTGAAGGACCCAAAAATCCGCGCTCATCTCTCTGATTCTACGGTCCTCCCAGCGCTCTGTGATGCTGCAGAGACATGGGTTGATAGTTCTACTACGTTAAGAACGCTTCGCACTACTCACGGAGCATTTGAGCGATGTCTTTTGAAGTATAACCGGCACTCTCAACATGTAGCCGGAATGCGAAGCTCCGACCTTCGATATCTGCCACATCTTCGAGATCCAGAGGAATATACATCGACAGCGAAGCATAGATGGGCCGCTCACATAATGAGAAGGACAGATGACAGATGGACGAAAAGAACAGTAGAGTGGACTCCAAGAGTGCAAACATTTCCTTGGACGACCACCTACACGTTGGGCGGACGTGTTCGTAAGCAAAATTAATCAGCTGTACCCGCAGCTGCAGTTGTTTTAAGATCATGGTATGAGACTCGCAAGTGCTACCAAGTTCGAACAAGAGCACCAGCATGGACTACGATTGCGAGAGAAAGGAACGAGTGGCATATGTGCTGGCGTCCGCGTAACTCGCGAAGACGGACTGTCCAAGTAACCAAATAAGTAAGTTTTATCTTCCCGGATTACTCAGGTACCGTTATGACGATCCTGGAGGAATGAAGAACTTGGTTAGCCACGGTAGCAGGATCGAACCAATGACTATACGTGTACTACAGAGCAGCTCTGATCACTGCTCTATACCGCTCCCTCCCCCATTCTTGCCGAATACTACGATAGATAATTCGAGAAGCTGATTGCTGTTATCTAACATTTATTATAGGGCTCTTATCGACTTGCTTTTTTTGGTTCATTGGTATTGATGGTTTTCACAACATTTGCTAATTTTAACAATTAGCTATAATATAACAAAATGTATGCGAAATCGAAGAAGTTAGTTTGTAGCAAAGCCGAAGCACCCTGCAACACACATGTGGAGTCGATCCCCGCGCCTATGCCCCACCAAGCCTTTTATCCCTCCGGGGTCAGCAAATTGGTGCCACACTTGTCTGGGAAGTTAGCAGCACTAGCACAATACATCCGCAGGCCACCGCGAGTCATTGTAAAGGCCAAATGTGCATTCAATTACCTCCAACGATGCTTAATGAAGTCGAATGCATGACGCATTCTTCAGAGATTGATCAACGGCAAGAGCTGCGTCTACTCAGTGAGTGCCTAAGCGTGTGGAAGTAATGTTCTGTCACTGTCGGGCTTCTGAGGTATGCAGTACGTCCTATTGTCTTAACATAGGACAATAATTTCCCAATGTTAACGGAGTTGCCTCAAAGATTAACAATTCTTCCTATTTACTGGACATTTATGGGGCGTTGTACGGGGCCTTCCCAACATAGTTGTTTGCGGAGCAAAAAAAGAAAAACTTTTAATGAAAGTTTTTAAGAAATCGATCTGTTCAATCGAGACAGATTAAAAGAGTAAATATAAGGGTAGAAAGCAGAATTGTGCAGTTCGAGTAAAGATACTAGAAGAAACCTTACCATATCTGATCCCAACTGAGTGGCGCGTCGTAGGTGCACTTGGTGAGATGATTCGTGCAAATACAGAGGTCGAAGCTCGAGTCACGTCGATAGCGACAATTCAGGTAGTCCATTGGTTGATAGCAACCACGATAGTACAGATAGATTTCGTCATTTTCAAATTGGTAGAACGAGATCACATTGTTGCTGTCATTGTCGAATGTGATAAGTGCAGACATACCGAGTGACAGCGCCACATAACATTTCATATGGCATCTAAATGTCACCTTTCACATTGGACTTGCAGGAAGAAAATTCTATTCAGATAGGAAGTAATTATTCTTTTACTTGCGCAGTTATTTTCTAAAACAATCACAAGCTTCGCTATAAAATGTAGGTGCGGAAAGCTTGATAAGAACTGGTTGCAGGAAAGACACATTAGGTTGTTCGGAAATCAATATCGCATTTATGATTTCATTGTTTTTCCATATACTTACCAATAGTTTTTTCGAGTACCTTAGTATACACCACTTTGAACCTCATTTCATTCTTTGGCTTAACGTAATTGAAATGTAGATGCGGTGGATAGCACAGTGTTAGTGATGTCCGTCATCACGAGCATGGTGCTAGTGCTGTTTCGCTCCGGGACAAGTAGGCCTCTTATCTCTCTGGGGTTAGCAAGTTAGTAGAGGACTTGTCTGGGGGAAAATCACTCTCTGCAGTCCAATTGGGAACGCTCCAGCTCGGCTATCTCAGGGCTCCAGGGAGAATTGCTCGACCAGCATTCTACGACATTCAAGATTAAATGGATTCTCAAGCAGCAATCGAAGCCACACGTAAAAACTTGGAAGACCTTCGTGGACAATGGGTACAAGGAAAGGAAGTGGATGTGAGAAGTGCTAGGATCAGTGCAGTAAACGTGAAGACGGTGAAACAAAATAAAATAAAATAAAATTGAAATGTAATGTATGTGTTTGAGAAGTCGACAATTCTGCTTCTAGGGACTCGAAGTCCGTAATAGTGCAGTTCACGTTCCTCGAAATATTACTGAGATATGGTACTAAGAAACTGCTAAGGAATGCACACTGCATGTTTATAAAGCTTTGTCGTGGTCAATTCGACTCTGAAGATATAGAAAGTCGCGGACGTCTTTCTGCTTCTGGCTATGATGTTTTGAAGACGTTGGTGAAAGCAGATGCCGTACAAGTGTTCGGCAACTTGCAGGAAAACACAATGTAAGCTCTTCATCTGTTTCAGAGCATTTGAAGAGAACTGGAAAGTCTATGAAGCCTAACAAATAAACGCGCACGAATTGGATGGGAATAAAAGAAATTGCTGCCTTGAGGCATCGTGAGCGCACCGGAATGACTGCTTCCGACCGTATTACGATGTGCAACAAGAAGTGGATCCTCTACACACAGTTAGAGACGAGTGGCTTCACGATAGCGAAATTGCACTAAAAGTGTTTGATGATGATCACCTGGTTCAATCCATCATGGCGTCTTAAGTTAGGATAAAACGATTACGTCGGGAAAATACTTTTGAGAAAGCGATGGAATGCACCAGAGACTTCAATGGCTACGCCCTTCCTTGGTTCACACGAAGGGTTTCATTTCACACGTTCACACGAATTCCATCTCAGCGATAACGCCTGGCCACATGTTGCACTACCGACTCTGCAGGAGTTGAACGATGCGGGCTGTGAAACTCTTTCACATCCAACACACTTGTCGATAGCATACCGACATACTCACCTCTTCAAGTGTTTCGATAACTTACAACTCGAGAAATGTAACAGAAATCTAGCCAAGGACGAAGCTGCCATCAACGACTTTATCATCCCATGAAGTCTAGAATTTTATAAGAAACACGTTTCTCGTTGGAAAAAGTGTAGATTTCAATGAATTTTACTACAACGTTTAATCTGAGGGGATTATGCCGCTTTAAAAATGCAAGTTGGAATCCGACATTAATTTCCGAAAAACCAACTGTCTCTAAATATAAATGTTTCATCACTTCAAAGTTGTGCTTAGCTTTTTTCACCATTTTTGTTTTCGTCTTTCTTCCTTTCTTTCGACTTGCAAAGGGATATAGGGGCTAGGAAATTGAAAGCAACAACAGAGTTATAAGATAATGTTAATTACCACTCTGTTCATGACGTATCAAATGAGCGCCAATGAATTGTTTGTGATATGACTTCTTTGCATAGGAAAAACGTTGCTATGGTCTTTATGGTGACGTTTACCAGACAGCTTGCCGGGTAGTTCTTTGAAACAACCTTATCGATTCCCTTATCCGTTTGACAAACAACGGTGTACAAAATCATTCATCACAAACTGATTTTGATTCAGAATTTCATCTAACGAAAGCTTCCCTCAGTAGTGCAAAATGAAGAAAACTATAACACTATCAAAGTGGAATAGACACCAGTTTAGAATTCCTTTAGTAACGTCCTAAGCCAAACGAAATCCTGGAATGCCCTGTCTATTTCCATCTTATGGAATCTCAACGAATTTTGTAAAATAAAGCAATGCTGCTCTATTTATTTTGATCTAAGAAACATAGAGGAGAACAGAAATTTGAATTATGACTATAACTCAGTGAAATTCTCTCTATCTTTCTTTTCCACAACTTTCATTTTTCCTTCTCTCGCTCTCGTTTGAACATTAGTTCTATTGTGAGTTTTCTGCTTGCTCGTGAGAAGAAACAAAAACGATTTCGAATGATGAAATTGATGAATTATTGTCTTTAATAGCAGTAAAGTCACTGGACTCACATGGTGTGATTAAGGAATACGGTAGGACGTGACGTTGGCGAATAGAGAATGTCTAACGACAACTGGTCCAAATTACTTCGACGCGACGAAGTTACATTAATTGTCACAAAAGACAGTTGCAACGATTTGTTCTTGTAGAAAATAGTGTAATTAGAAGCCAAAGTGCTACGAAAAGTAAGTAATATATGGATGCTTAGCATCCGAACCAACATGGTCTGAAAGAAGGACGATCATGTTGATAACTGCTATAATGCTGAGATATTTGCGCAACTTCGGACCGCAGATGTCTGCGGTGGGGAACGAACGCGCTATTGTCTTTTTCGGGGAGTAAAGTGTTCACCACCACACTATGCGGGTGCTTTTGCAAATATCTCAGCATTATAGAAGTTATATTTCGCAACATACCTTACCGTTAAAAAGAATAGGCAGTAAGTAAAAAAAAAGGTTAAAATCATGTTGATAATTTTCTAAAAAGATTGGATGCAGGTCAAAATCACACATTCTCAGCCTTTGTAATTCAATAGCTTACGGCTATAAACGTACTTTGAATAAAAGCTCCGAAGCGTTTTGGTTACCGTCGTTTTTTAGCAACAGTTTCGTAAGAGACAGATCGATTTCTATTAGAGACATGACGCTAATTAAACCAGAACACGAAGAAAGTGCGAGAAGTTAAGGATAAGCACGTTCCATAGACAAATGGATTTAATAGCGGAATATCCTTACAAAACAAGAGATCCTTGATTTCTCGAACGTGGATGCTGTGGAAACGCTGGTGTTTATCAACTTGAATAGCTTTTCTCTTGATGAATAGAACGATAACAACATTCAAGGCACATGTGATAAGAAATGAGGATAGAGCGAAGGTTTTGGAATCATCGTTCGTTGTTGAACCGAAAATGATGACGAGTAGTGTTTAGGAGTCCCGAACCCGGCTTACAAATAGACAAAGTTCTGTACAACTAGTGGTAGCGCTTCAGCAGTGAATATCTTCATGCTAAAGTAGTTGTCACTTTTGTCGTTAAAACAAGCTTAGCACCAATCTGTTTTAGGCAAAAATATCTAATTCTTAGCCGTGTATTGTCTTTGGGACCGGACCACTAGGATTGAAGAAATGAGGTCCATCTGCACCTTACTATACTTCATCTCTTCTTGTAACAGTTCTGATAAACTTATGGAAGAGTCTCTGCTTTATCGCTTGAAATGTACAGATGATTTCTCTGTAAGATCATAGAACGGTCTCTGCTAGAGATAAACAGTCGTGCCATTAAGATTAAAGCACTGAGAATGGTCCTTGGTAGAGACAAACATCTCTGAAGAGAATTTTTTACCATAAATAATATGTTCACTGATCGATAACGTTTTACGTGGTTCTTGAAATTTGGTAATGATCAGAATGGAATTTCGTCTAAAATCTTTCGAACATGCATAGGTTATAGTGAACATTTTTTAAAGGTTGAAAGTAAAGAAATATCTGAGCATTAGATTTGGCTATTATGGTCACTAGGAGTATTTTGCTAAGGTTGCGTGTGGCTTATGGTTGGAGGCGGCACTGCGACACACACGTGGAATCGATCCCAGCGCCCATAACCCACCAAGCCCTCCATCCCTCCCGGGTCGGTAGATTGGTACCAGACTTGTCTGGGAGGATAATAGAACTGGGGCGATACATCGATACACCACTGAGAGTCATTGTAAGGGCCAGATATGCAGATATGCATTCAATCACCTCCAACGACACTTAATGAAGTCGTATGTATGGCCCATCCCTCAGGGATTGATCAACGACGAGAGCTTTATCCTTCATCCTTTATACGAGAATTTTGGTAAAGGAGACGATGGTCTACTCCTAACCCATTAAATTCTTAGAAACAAAGTGTAAGTAGAGCACTCAGATCTGCACAAATGACTAATTTTATACTTCAAAAGTGCACACCTTGAGGATGCCAGTAAGCAGACGAAGTCGTGCCCGGCGAATCCACTTTCAATTCCGATTTTTAGCTTAGATTTAACTATTCTGTGCTCATTTACAGCGGAGGGATTCGTTCCTCCGGCAAGGTTTCCCAAGCTGAGAAGGAGTGCGGCGTTTTCATCAGGAAGCCTAGTTAAGAGTAAACCAATACCAGGGTTCACCACCGTTCAGGCATCAAAGTCGCATGGTGGCAAATCTCCCTCTTATCCACAAGGGCTGCGACTGCCCGTGGTGATGAAGTGCTGGGGCTGACTTTGGTCGGGCTGAGTTCGGGAAACCGGGGAAGCACGGTGGCTTAACCAGCAATTCTCCGATAAATGGAGATTGTGCTGGAGTGCGCACAACCATTGAGGACAGGCCGTTAAAGTATTAAGCAAGTAAGAAAACTTTTTCATAAGCTTGGTAAACACCCAGATTTTCGCTGAAAGAGTCAAGCCGGTGTTTATCCGTTGAGAAATTGGAGCCTAATAACAGATAATATTGATGTCGCCCTGGATTCGCTTAAGAGATCACTTAGTAGTGAACTGATAAAAGACGGCCAGACGAAGAAAGCCAATCACGCGATTTTTCGTCTTCAGATATTTTTTCGGTGGTGTTAGATTTCCGATTTCTTCCTTCTTGATGCTTTTTGTTGCTTTCTTATCAGACTTTGTGATCACATGGTCAACATTGTTAGTCACCTCTAGTGCTTGAAGTTCCGTGTATTCGTGAAGGTGTTTATTCTGGAAAGCAGTAGGAAAGCGTATGTTCTCAAGGTTCTTGACATCCCAAACAAGGCCAAGATTGTCAGCCACTGGTTGCGGTTGTCATCCTATTGGAAACTAGTAACACAGCTGCAATGATGTTGATGTGCAGTTGTTGTTTTTGTAATTTATCACGAAAAATAGGAGTTTTTATGATATGAAAAGTTTTCGTCGTCCATATTTCAAGTGAATTCGGCTCATTCAGAAGTACTGGGCTGCTTCACTTTGCAGTTGGCTCATTAATCAGTTCCGGTGCAAAAATCATACTCCTCTGTAACTTAGATTGCGGCTTTCAGATAATGAGGAAACAAGCATATAAAGTTCTTATATTCAACAAGTGATTAGCTTTCGTTTTCTTACAGTTTCTTTGTATATGAATTTTACATTTCTATTCGATGTTTCGCAATGGAAATCATACAGAACCTTTTTAGTTTCCGGGATTCTGATCTTACCGACTACGACATTAGCGATTTCCACGGAAACGAGGTATTTCTAATTAAAATTTTCAACCCAACTATGCTTATTAGCCTAAAGTTTTTGTTTATATTTAGAGATTTTTGCTTAAGTCATAAAATTGTCTCTGCTGGGAACTTCGTTTTTAGCCAAGGCAAAAACCTTGTCTGTGTGCTCTTAACTCTTAGAATGTGTACGGCTGAGAGAATGACGAAACGAAGGACACGCATGGTGTGGTGCTGAGCACATCAACCTCCAGAAAGGGTAACAGCGTGTTCGATCCCCATAGCAGACACCAGCGGTCCGGCGTTTTGCAAATATCTCAAAATGATCATGATTATATTTCACATAATACCCTGCCATTAGAAAAAGGAGCAGGCAGTGAATAAAAAGTGACGAAATTCTGGTCCTCAACAAGTTAGAGTGCATTAAAATAAAGTTTGCGATTACTCGCTCTTCCCAAAAAGTCCGTTTTTAATGAACATGCGCCAGCGTACTCTTGGAGGCTTTTTCAACTTAGCGAAGAAAAATTTTTTTACATTGGAGCTAACTTGACAAATAAGCAGTTTTGGTCATCATCAGCAACAATTTGTTCTCAGTGCCTATGATTCCTAGTGTAACTAGTAATTCTATTACCCGACTCAAAGGGGCACAAAAGGAATCCTCCTTATGAACACTATCGAGCAACAGAGTTTCCCTCTGGACTCTGCGTGGGACAGGGAATAATCGGAGCCATTGTATTAACCTCATCATGTCACAGGTTTTTTGGTACCATCACATCAATCAGCTGACCATTACCACAAAAAGTCGTGTACTGGTCACAGGTAATATACTGCGTCCTCTCGGAAAAGGTGTGGGTGCTTGTTTCTTAGATACGAGAGTGAGTCATCTCTTATAAACACTCCATTCATCTGATTCTAAAATTTTGGCAACGTGACGTGCAAGATACGATTCACACAGGTGAAAGTTGATGCGTTCACAATGTATGGGTTAATTTGGTACGACGGAGTTAAGGAGAGTATTCTGAATCCACTAATTCCAACGTTTGAAACTGACAATCCATCCACAACTTGAGGATACATACTGATGTTTGAAACTTCTCACATAGGGATATTCGCGCCTCATAAATTCGATTTAGAGAAGATAAAATTTATTAAAGAGGCAAAGGAGTGCAAAGTAAGCTGAAACACGGTGAATGCCCCATTGGAATAATAAATGGGTGAATAAAAGTGAACTAACTAAAAAATACCCTAATCTCTCAAATGATTCTTGTTGTCGAAATTTTTTCTTTGATGGCTGACGTCCACAATGTTAACTAATCTATCAGGATTTCTGTACTACAGCCACTTCACTCTACAATAAAGTTATAGAGTTATTGTGATGTGTATCGCATAAAACGGCTTCTTGTTAAAGTCGATTCTCGCTCGGCTAAGACGCACCTTTTCGCCCTTCAAATTGTTCATGCAGCAAGAAATACCACTCTCTTGGTATGACGATTCATCATAACAAGGTGAAAGTTTATAGTAGGAAAACCACCTCTGAGCTAGGATCATCTAAAGCCAGAAAGAGTTTACATTTCTACCCGGAACCACAGCTATGAGTAAACCATAACCATGAGTCACTGCCGTTTCGAAACTCATTCGCAGGGTGGCAAAGTTCTCATCGACCCGAGGTGCGGGCGTCTGCGTCCGGCAACAACCTGCGAACGCCACCGCTTTGTAGTCTAGGTAAAATTCTCATGGAAACAGTAGCATATCGGTTAGATAGAAAACGTCGTGGAGGCGGAACGATTCTTTGCAAAGACAGATCATTCGAATAAAAAATGAATTTTAAAAAAAGCTGTCATAAATCTACAATACAAAACAATCGAGAAAATACACATTGCGTGTGTGGTGTGGAGAGTCGGCACCACAACAACGTACGACTCATAGCTCTTTCTATCATCTCAACGAACTAAACCGCTTATCGTACGCGTATCTGCCAATCGCTTCCTATCAGGCCTAAGGACAGCATTTTTTCATGAGCCATCGTCACCTTGCATAAATAGAAGTCGCTTCTGATTCTTATTAAGTGTTAGCTTTATTCATAATATGTTGAGGTTTCACTTTATAGACGACCAGTCCATGAAATAAATTTTCTCATGCTGCTTTTAGAAAAGAAACTACAACAAGCTTTTTATATTCATAATATTAACTTAACGCCGAAAATTATAAGTACATTACGACGGAGTCGCGAGAAGGATTAAATACAAAGCGTTTGGCGTTGATCAAAATTAAGTCAAAGTATTCCACATCACCAAGTACTGTTGAAGGTGATTGAATGCATATCTGCCCTATATAGTGTCCTGTGGTGGCCTAACAATCTATCAGGTTGCTGCTTTTATCTTTGCAAACAACATCTGCGCCGATTTACCGACACCGTAGGTATGGAAGCTGAAGGTTTGCTTACCCGAGATGTAGCATCGTCCAAACAGCCATATATGACTTGTTCTTTCTGATATATGGCTCTCCATAAACATGTATGACTTCTCTGACTATGACTCTCCATAAACTCGCAGTAGAAACCGCAATGTTTCTGACGTCTGGTCAAGAATAACGAGTCTTCAAATTCTTCACCGAGCCTTTTTTGTGTGAAAAATTCGTTAAGAAAACAACCCTTACTTTCATCTCTAAGAGAATCTGCTTGCTACTAAGAGAATGTCCCTGAGTTCAGGCAAGATATTAATGAAGTTTAATTAATGAATTAATTAACGGTTTCGTAAACGACTGTTGTGATCTATAGGAATTAAAATGTAGGGAGTGATTTTAATTGGAAGTACTTTTGCTAACTACTGAGAAAACTAAAAAAAAGCATAAAAGGATAAAGAATCAAGCTCTTGGCGTTGATCAATCCCTGTTTGATGCGCCATGCATTCGACTTCACTAAGTATCGTTGGAGGTGATTGAATGAAGATAATTAATTAATTATTTAATTAATAATAAAAAATTAATTAGCTAATTTTTTTAGTAATTGTAATGATTTTGGATGTATTGAAGTATATCTGGCCTTTACAATGACTCGCGATGGCCTACCAATGTATCGAGCCAGTGTTGCTATCCTCCCAGAGAAGTCTGGTACCAAATGGGCACTGGAATCGATTCCAAGTGTATGTTGCGGAGTACCTCCGATCACTGCGCACACGCGCCGTTTTTAAGAGAAAGCATAAAGGGTGAAATTTAGGATTTTAGGCCTTGTCAGCAAGTAAAAATAATTTAGTGGTGTAACGCGATTTAAAACAATGTGAATTGAGTGAAAGACCTTCCAACTAAAACAGCGCTTCGACGTTGTCGCCCTTTTAAGAGTTTTAGGTACTTTTAGACGAAACCATGATATAATTCTATTCAATTACAATTTTAACCTATTATTTACTACCTGCTCTTTTTCTTAATGGCAGAGTATATTGCAAAATATAACTTCAATGATGCTGAGATACTTGCACAAAACTCTGGACAGCTGGTGTCTGCGGTGGGGAACGAACGCACTATTGCCCTTTCCGGGGAGCAACGCGTTCACCACCACATCATGCGGGTTCTTTGTTTCGTCTGTTTCTCAGCAAGTTGCATTCAGTTAATTGTAGAGGATCATTTTGTTCGTATGTGGACCTCGAGCTCTCAATTCTCAATGATTGCGTTCGCAGAATTCTTGGTTACAGCTCGGTTTTGACCATGGTTCTGCTCTTGCCGCAGATGTTCATTACGTTGTTCCTAAACGCGACAGTGCTCCACCGAACGGCGACGGCGTTGTTCCAGCTCGGATTAGTGCAGCTAACCGTAACACTACTGGAGACAGCGACGATTATGTCAAAGTAGGTTTTCCAAGTTCTTTCATCATTTCCGTTACAAAGAATTTAGCTGGCTAAAAATGCTGGTTTACCTTTGTGTAGGCGGTTAACCCGCCATTCACCAAAGGTAGAAAGCATGTTGGTATAGTTAATGCTAATGTGCACGACCTTGATCTAATGTTCGGCTGACTTCAAATTAAATGAGAATAATAAATGAAAAATTAGTAATGAGCAGACGGCTAAACGTTTTGATGGCAATCAATCTTCCATTGTACATCCATTAAGCGAAAGTCTTATCAGTACAGTGGCAAGACGAGTTTCTTAGCTAATCTAAAATGAATATTAAAGCACATCATTCTTTATTCCGTTCCATAGCAACATCTTAAAAATGTCCTCCACGAGTGCTATAGATTCCATCATAATATCGATTTGGTTAGCTCATTACCGGTTGAAAATTTTTCCTTTACTGAAGTTCTGAGATAACCATCCCAAAGAGATTTAGACATCAATGATTGCCGGACTCTCTGGATCAGTACTTTTCGGGGCTTTCCACTTTGTGAATGGATTTTCACTTAGTTACCAAATTTCTGTAACGTACCTTTACTTACAGTTACAATTCTTGGTAGAAATCTTGACCCCCTTCCACGATCGGGTCACCCTGTAAGAAATAAACCGTCTAGTTTTTTTTTTAAACGGGTTCAACGTCTCCGTGTTGGGACACCGAAGCTCCTGTGTTTCTCAGCAATTAATTCATTCAAAAGTAACTTTGTTAACTATGTGGTTACCTATCAGACAAAATATATCCGACGTTAGTGTTGTTCTGAATTTTTTGAGGTAAACTGCTCTCGTAAAATGAAGCAGAAGTGGAGAAACGAGGCCAGGACAGAAAGTTCTTTTTTTATTAGGTTCAAGAGGATCCGATCTACGACACACCTTACGTCGATAAAGCGATGAGTCCTGAAGAGGCCAAGCAACTTCAAGTAACTTTTCTTTGTTTAATTGTTCTATTAAGCCTTTGCGTTTACTAGGAAAAACGCTTAAGAAATTTCCAAACTGACCTTCATTTGACCTGAGTATTTAACAATCAATCATCGGATCATCGGCTCTGATGAAGACGAAGACGTCGTAACGTTGGCCAAAATAAATCTCTTTGACAGCTTCGTGTTAGTTTAGCAATCAATGAACCTAAAGACACTTTTTGAATGGAATAAGCCCACGCAATAATGTGTATGTGGGGAAAGGCTAGAGCTTTCATCATAAATAAACTCTTATCTGAAACTCACTTCACCACATCACTGTTGAATTTCTTTCCAACTAAAACTTTATAAGAAAATAGTTCTAGCGGATTTTTTAGAATGAACTTCTAGTCATCTAGGGATGAAAGCTCAGCGTGGAAGAAATAGAGCGTGTAAGAAACAGCCCTTCATGGACGAACTTCCTATCCATCCAGTGAAAATAGTACTTGGTTAAATGGTAAATTGAAAGCATTTCTGCGTGCCCTTCGGAAATTGGGAAAGAATCACCTGAATAGATTAGATTGTCGTCTCTTTGGTCGTAAACAACGCATGTGGGCTCCAGCAAAGTCTCCATGCTTCCCTGTCGCATGACAAAGTAATTTATTATATTCTAAGTCCTCAGTATCCTCAAGGCGCAACATATTTTCCACCACAAAATTCCGTGATCAAGTTAGGTTGATGATCTGCCTATTCTTGCTCTGTCTTTGTGGCCCTGTTAAGTACAGTATCTTAGACTTATCCCTAGCGAGTTTCCTTAAAATCGCTTCGTGTATTTAGCCTGATGTTCGATGTCATAGGTTTTAAAGCAGCAACTGCGATCTTTGGCCGTCTGCATAGGTCTGAACTTGATATGTGATACGCGATATTCCTAATATTGCCCTCTATACAGCATTCTCAGAAATTTTTGCACTGCTTAAGCAATGTCCTAATTTCCGAGAAGTGCGTTAGGGCAGAAAGGCATTAGTTAACTCTGAAGTTGTGGTGAAGTCGTTCGTCATGTTGAGTTTTCATTCAATTACACGTATCTGGAGCGTTTTAGAGATCCAAATACACATGTTTTGTAAATACAAATGCGTTGTCATGTTAGAAATGGACCCATTTCCCTTTAGCGTCTTTGTATGGAGGCCGTTGAAACCAGCAACGGGACGTTTCGCGTTGTTGGATCTTGTAGAGAATGTGTCATCAGCGAAATGGTGATAATGTCCCTGCAGTTGATCATTTATACTCCCATATTATTTCGTGCTTTCCTCCGAATAAAGTTTCCGAGTGTAGGTAAACACGATAGGATGATCCATTGCGCGTAGCCGATTTTGAAATACTTCGGTCACAAGGGTACCTTAAGCTCAACATACCGTTAATTCTATTGGGAATGGGTTAAGGGAGAACCTTCTAGAAGACGACAGACAGCAAATGGATTAGGTGATAGTTGCCGGTGCAGTGCGGGGTTCCGTTTTATGTAACGATACGATAATGTTTTCATTTCATTGATTGCAAACATTGCCGTTTTGCAAACAACGTGTGAAAAGCCGAGCCAATGCGCTGATAACGACTGGAAATAAGTTCCCCAGACATTCAGTTCCAATAGGTCACGAGTTAGTTGTTGTTTCCCAAAGATATCTTTGTAGATCAGATGTCGGATATTGAAAAGTTCAACTACACGATCGATATATTTATCCTTCATATGACGGAAATGCTTGGTTTGCTTGGCTTGGCTAATGTTCGGTGTTATAAGGATGATGTCATCAGCAAAGCGAAGATGATGTAACTGTCGACCATCGATTTTCACTCCCATATTATCCCATTCCAATGTTCGCATGACGTTCTGGAGGGTGGCGGTAAATAATTTTGGCGAGATGCTATCGCCCTGCCTAACTCCGCTTTCGACCTCAATGTTAACATCGTTATAGAATGGTGATACCTGGTTGTGAAATTTCTGTACAGCTCACGAAGAACCTTTATATACTGAGTAGGCATCAAAGGCCTTTTTTAAATCGATGAAAGCGAGACAGAACGGTCTTTTGTACTCTCGCGATACTTCAATGACCATTGTTATCGTGTGGTTGTGATCTATCGTACTACATCCTTTTCGAAACCTTGCTTGCTCACATGGCTGTCCTTCCTCCAGCGTTCTGTCAGTCCTGTTTAGGATGACTTGAGTGAAAGATTGAGGACGACAGACAGCAAGCAGACTGGGTAATAGTTGCCGATATCGTGTAGGTCAGCCTTGTTGAGCAATAACACGGTCTTGCTGGTCTGTCGCTTAGTAGGGACTTTGAATTGAAACAGGTAACATGTGAAGAGTCTAGCCAGTGTGTTTACGTAGACTGGCGGAAGATTCTTCAGGTGCTCTGGTTTATCACGCCCGGACCTGGTGCTGCTCGATTTTTCACCGACGAAATGGCATGACAGATTTAAGAAGGAAGAACCGGCGGTGTAACATATCCATCCTCTTTTATCTCATTTGACGGAAGGTGGACGTGGCTATAGAAGGGATCTGAGTAGTATTCGTGAATGATTTTCTTCATTGCTTTTTTCGACGTTGTAACTGTTCCGTCTGGTCGTTGGAGTGCAATCATTTTGGTCTTGTAATTGACGAAGCTTTGGTGGACTTTGTGAATGCTTTTCCCAGCATCTCCAGCTTCGACCATTACTGCTGCTCTTCTCTCTTTAAGATCCTTTTCTATCACCTGTCTTCATTGTTTTGGATGTTCGGACGTTACTTCACGGTTGCCTCCAACTAGTGCGATTTCACGCTGACCTATCAGCTTTAGTGTTCCTGGACACAGACTCTTGGTGGCTTTCGAACTCTCAGCTTTCATAGCGCTGACGTGAAGATGTTGAATGAGAGATCGTATTCTTCGTCATGTTATCGATATCTTCCCAATAGCCGACTAATGAATTGAATAAGCCCAAGTTTGCGGTGGTTCTGGTACTTCGGTTTTGGAATTTAGCGGCTTTTTCTCCTTTTGCGAGAAATAGAATCTTGAACGAAGGAGGCGGTGGTCTGATCCCTTGTAGAATTTCGGGACAACAGTAACATCGGTTCAGTAAACCTTCTATTTACTATGATGTGGTCCATTTCGTTATGGTACTCTCCATTGGGAGACTCCCACATCAAGCGTTGAGGGTGGGGCTTTTGGAATTGCGAGTTACCATGGATTGTCTTGGTCGCAATGATAAACTCAGACAGCCGCTCACCCTATTCGTTCCATTCCAATCAGTGGGTCCCAATGTGACATTCTTCAAACGTTCTTCTTGGTTCAATCTTTGTGTTGAAATCTCCAATAATGACCTTGAAGAAGGTATGGTCTTCTCTGTAGAACTTCTCCAAGTCCATATAAAACGTTTCGACTTCTTCTTCGTCATAGTTTGACGTCGGTGTGTAAACGACGAAGATTGTCAAAACTGGTATTGATCCACATCTTTTTAATCGTAAACGTCCAATTCGGGTTGTAAGCTGTCCGAATGAATCGATGTTCATGGGCAAACTCGTGTTGACGAGAACGCCGACGCCGCCGACTCCTCTGCTGTCGCATGTTCCGAGGAACAGTTCTTTTCCGGTGTCATAGACGGCGTTGAATGGGTGGCGTCGTCTCGTCACAGCCAGGTCAAATACAGAAAGTATGTGCCAAATCGGCGCAGCAGAGACAGAGAGTCGATCTCCTGGATCCGCCTTCGTCCCAGGGAAGCACAGGTGACTTTTGGTCTGCGATTAACTCCTATCCGCCACCTGGGGACGCGCTACGTAGCCTCGCGACTAACTGGATCGAGATCTCTCATATGAGGGAGTCCGTGGACAAGAGGGGCGAATTCTTGCCGACTTTGATAAAGCCTGTGGAAAGATTGCTCTTCGACTAAATCTCACAAAAACGATGTTCATAAGGAACGTATTGGTTTCGTATGCTCTATTCACGCTCAGCGGAAGGAATATCTCCGAATGCTCCAGTTATGTCTATCTAGGTCGGGAAATCAACATGCTTAACGACTTAGTTCAAGAGTTCAGCAGAGAAAAATGGAAGATTTACTGGCGACCGCTGGAGTCACTCGACGATCAACGGGACTACAGATGATGCAGGTGACAGGTGACGACGGAAATAAAGTCTAAGAACACATATGTCGGAGAATTTGGAATAGAATTCGTTTTCCGCTTCCTCTCTTGAGCAGTCACGTTGAAATCTTCTCTACTGCTGACTAAGAAAGCGAAGAAGCTACAGTAATTTTCAGGATTTCTTCGCAGCGATTAAAATTCCGGCAGGTTTGCATATTTCAGGGCCCAGAACCATGCGTGACCATTGTCATGATAGACTGAAATTATCGTTAGCCTTCTCCATTTCTTTAAGCCCTAATGTGATTATTTTGCAGCCAATTTTATAATTTAAACAACTAGCCATGACTTTACAGAATGTATTCTTTCTGTAGAACTATTCCATGAAACATATATCTCATTTACCTTACAGCTGGGATAATAAAAAAGGATAAAGCTCTCGACGTTGATCAACCCCTGAGGGATGTGGCATGCATTCGGCTTCATCGAGCATCGTTGGAGGTGATTGAATGCATATCTGACCTTTACAATAACTCGTGGTGGCCTACCGATGTATTGAGCCAGTGATGCTTTCCTCCTAAGCAAGTTCGGTGTCAATTTGGCCACCCCGGAGGGATGGAAGGCTTGGTGGACCATGAGCGCGGAGATCGATTCCACGTGTGTGTTGCAGTGGCACCTCCAACCACTGCGCCACACACGTCCCATGTTGGCATGTAGGCTTCGAAAATTGTAAAGCCCCAAATTGGTTCGTTTCTTCTCAATTCAGTCGTCCCATTCGGATCAATGTTCTTGTCACGCTCGTGCAGACAACGTCACAAACTACGTAGGCTGCGCTATCATCGTATAACTCCACGAACAGTTCTTCTCCAGCGACATAAAGACTGTTTAAGAAGTGAGTGTTACTGTGTATGTATTGTAATTGTGGATTGATGCCATTGCCTTCCAAGCTTTTGTAGCCTAGATTGGTCTGAGATTTAAGCAGCTTTTGTTATTCATCGTTCTCTATGCTTTCTGTACCACAGACTTCCTGGTACTAAAAGCGTTTTCTAGCTTTTTATTCTGCTTTTGATAAGAGAGTTACACAGGTGGCTTGCAAACTTCCACTCTGAAGGTCGGTCATAGGCGACATGCTCTAGTCTTCCAGAGTAAGCCTCTTCAGCTATATAGGAAGAAGATACTTTAGAACAGCTAAATTACAACCTGTGTGCTTCTGGCCTCTTGCTTTCACAAGGCTCAGCGAGGCGATAACGGCTTAGGTGAGAAAGGTACAACAGCAAAAGCGTTTTTCCGTCTCATTTTCAGGTCAATCACGAGGTCACTTTTGATCAGCGTTTAGCTTTTCATACACCTCTCTGATACCGTTAATAATTAACAGTAATCAGATAGCCAGTCCTCTCAATAAAGGAGGGCTGTTGAAATATTATAATTCTGTGACAGTTTTCTACATAAAACTCCGATTGGAAATTTATCAGTTTTATCAATCTTCATGACATAGCTTAACAGCTTGTTCTGGTTGGACAGAACTCTATCAGACCATTTTTTTCAGGAATTGTGTCAAGAATACGATTTTGGAATAGATCTTGTGCCGGACAAGTCGCAATTTCCACCGTCTAACATTAATCAAACGACGAATCAGGTATGTGCCTAAGGACAAGAATTTCTTGTTGTTGTGTCGCTGCTGAAAAATAAATAGCTTAGAACTGTCAAGGAAATCTCGTATGTGCTATTAGATTTAACCTTTTAATGGACTCGTTACAGACCGCATCATCAAGTACAATTGCATTCCCTCAATCAGAAGCGAAAAATGTGCACAATGTGCAAATCAAACTCGTTCCTTTAACTCAAAAGGTTCGCTGCCTATTCTAAAGTATATGAGTGTTAATTTGAATTTTTCATAGAAGTGATACAACCACAATGATGCTGAGATATTTGCAAAACTCCGGACCGCAGGTGTTGCTGATGACACTGATTGATAGAACTAGTTGGACAGGCGAAACGAAAGACCCGTATGGTGTGGTGGTGAACTCGTTAGCCCGCAGAAACCCGGAAAAGGTAATAGAGCCACCCTTTCCCACCGTAGACACCGGCGATCCGGAGTTATGCAAATATCTCAGCATCATTGTGGTTGCACAACACAGAATAACTTGCCGTGAGAAATGGTTATAGGCAATAAATAAAAAAGTTAACATTTTCATGGAAGCTTAAAAGGCCTTATACTACGGTTCGAACAACACCCATACTACTTCATGTTCCGAGTAGTAGCTCTTCCACTTAACACAACCACCGATTAGGCCGCACGCCTCTAAAAATTTGATGGTTTCGGGGTATGTTGCGAAATATAGCTTCTATAATACTGAGATATTTGCAAAGCTCCGGGTCGCAGGTGTCTGCGGTGGGGAACGAACGCGCTTGTCCTTTTCGGGGAGTAACCCGTTCACCACCACACCATGCGGGCCCTTCGTTTCGCCTGTCTCTCAGCTACTTCTATCGAACTTTTTGCCATCGGCAATCACTCCTCAACGGGATTGATCTGGGGAGCCCAAATCGGCACTGAACCCAGTTAAGCTGAGGCTATAGTTTTTTTTAAATAGAAGTTATATTACTTAATTACTTGATAATTAAATGGCCTGTCCTCACTGGTTGTGCAAGCCCCAGCATAATCTCCACTTTCTCGAAATTTTACTGGTTTAGCCACTGTGGTTTTTGGGGTCCCGAGGTCT